TGGAAATCCCTCCCCTGATCAGCTGTGCAGCCCTAGCTCAGGGGAAGCAGGTGCCGCAGAGCAGAGGCTCAGGTGTACCATCCACCCGTCAGGTTCTCACAAGTGTCTCTTCAGTGAGGCGCCATCATGAAGGCCCCGGCCAGGCTGCAACCCTGTAGCTTGGCCAAAGGGCCCGAGGGCCGCGTTTTCAGGGGCAGGGGAAGGGCACAGAGCATGTGCGCACACACAGACACACCCTTGCATGTAAACTAGTCATGTGAAGATAAATAAGACAAAAAGGTTAGCCACTTAAACGTTGGTAATGAACATGAATAAAAAGGCATTGTATGTTGACACAGCTGGTTTGAATCAGCTATGGAACAGACACAAACATTATCAGGAAGGAATGATTCTTTAAAAAAAACCGTTCACAGCTTAGAGTAAAAAGCACTTATTGCACTCTTACATTTTTAGATAATTATAGTTTATTTCCCACCCTTACAATTTTTCCCTACCCCCAGACCTACTCCCACCCCTATTTTGGTCCATTTTTCTCTACATTTGTGCCTAGTCTCTGAGCATTGTTGCTGATGCTAGTCTGCAATCTCCCGTGTAACTCAGACTCCACCAAAAACATATGGGTTTAAAAAGGCCCAACACACAAATGCAACAATAATTTTCAAAGCAAAACTGACACTAAGCAATTTCCCCCTAACACCCATTCGTCCTCCTGTAAACAGCCTCTTTGGCCATGCCTCCTTGTGCCTGTTCGACTCACCTAGGTACACCTGTGCTGCAGGGGAGAGGCGGCCCTGCTGGGGGCTGGATATGGGATCAGCCGGCCAGAAGCAGGTGGTGTGTACACAAAAAAGTATTCTTTTTGTTTTGTTTTGTTTTACATTAACACTAATAAACATTTCAGTTCTCTGTTTTCAGAGTACTGCAATCTACAGAATTCTTTTAAAAAAATGCACCACAAAAGATACAGACTGCGTCCTCATGCAGAACTAGTTAAGTCACTGTACTTAGAACACCTCAACAGAAGTAAACATTCTAATGACGCTGATTTAATAACTAAAGTTGAAGCTGTGAATGTTCACCCACTTCACTGAGCTGAGAACTGGCTGTGTTTCTTTGAAGCGCTGGGTAACAGTGCTTTATCCTCTTCAAAGAACAGACTTCAAAGGAACAATTAATTGCCGTTCCCACAATGAACAAAATGAAGATAAGACATAATGAAAATGAGGATTAAATTTTCATCTAAATGTCTAAAGAGAAGGAAAACAGGCTATGTGAAAGCAACAAAGGAAAGCTGTCAGATGTATGACCTTACGAGTACTTCCAATGCTACCAGAGCCGGGAGCATGGACCATGAAACACTGGCCACTTCACTCTCCCCAGGCACAGACGTGCTACTGCCCTCATCCGGGGCTCAACTGCCCATGGTTATCAGCAATGTCTCAATTGCTCAGGGAAACACCCAAAAGATGCTGGAGACAGTGGGCTAACATCTCTGAGGTCATGAGGAATTAAACAAGACATGAGAACCACACCATGGAGCAAGTCCAGTTCTACACCCACAGGCCAGGTCATTCATAATTCTGACCCCTCCTCCTTGATCCCACTGCACACCAAGCAGGCTGAGTAGTACAGTCCAGCTTTACTTGCAAACAAGTTCTGGGAGGCAAGTTTGTTTCAAACTTGAAAAATTCAGTGTCTAGGTTGGCAGCAGCACTGTTAGCCAATCAGATCCCTTGCTGTCCTGTGACTGCACTTCTTTCTAGTTTCATACATGACTGCTGCACAGCGTACAGTGCTTCAACCCTAAACTAGAGCTGTTTCTTAAAATGTCTTTCAGACGTATCTGTTGTATAAAAGGTCCATGCTTTAAAGAACCTATGGGAGTACAAAAGTTTCTCTAGAAAGTCACTGACCTATAGTTTCAACTTAGTTGCTCTATGTGATAAATATTTCTATTATGTGCTTTTAAAAAAATAATTTTATTCACTGAAAATTTACCTGTGTGTCCTCATTTGTTAAATGTGGTTTTGGCTATAAACTCTTCAGTGCATTTATCTTTGCAGTCTAAGCACGCCTAAAAAACAGGAACACAGCTGAGTTAAACCAGAGTGGCTGCTCTCTTCATGTATCACTGATTTCAGCTAAGATTTTAGCTTTGTTATTGCATCATGAAGGCACAGTAAGATCATTTGGCAAATTGTCAAGGTATTCCTCCAGAGCCTCTTCCACCACTTCTGCGAGGCCACTGTACTATCTGCTGCTAAGAATCCCAGGGAGCCTTCTGCCTGTTGCTCTGGTTTCCCTAGCCTGACAGCCGGCGTCTGCAGTCCCTGTGTGTCAGGGCTGAGATTCCAGCCTTAACTCGGACAACACAGGAAAGCCCTGTCACCCTCCTTGCTGGGCAGTCTCCAGGAACGTCTGTGCATGTGACAAAGCTGTGTCTAACTCATGAAGATGTACTGTCAGGCCAAGCCTACTGAAAATGAAAACTATATCACTGTTAGGGAAGTGATACCCTAACTAATTTCATGCGATTGATGTAAGGTTGAAATTCTGAAATGTATCCCTAAACAGATTCTGGTACCACTTTCAACAACATTCAGGTTCTCTGAGCTACACAGTTTTTTTTTTTTGTTTGTTTTGTTTTGTTTTGTTTTACAGTATTACTGCTTAAATGTATAATGCCCTTTAGGACAACATGAGAGTGCTCAAAAATGTAAATACAAATCAAAGTTAAAAAAATTCAATCCTTTGTATGTCCTAGAGCTCCTGACTCCTCATATTTTAAAATAAATAACTATCATCACCTCATTCTGAGGAGGTAGTTTTTAAAGAGGTCACCTGAACTCTGCAATGTTCAAACTAAAGCTAGATGATGAGGTCTGTGAGAGGCTGGCAAGGTGGCTGTGCTGTGGGGACGGTGTGAGCGGAGGAGGGCTGTGTAGCAGCTCCAACAGTGCCTGACAAATGCAAAATCACATCGTGTAACACAAGGACTGTGACTGTGCCCAGTGAGAATCTAGGACATATTTACAGAGTTCAGGTTGACAGCCTGAACTCCAGAATCATCTGCTTCTATAAATGTTCCTCCTTCTCCCACACAATCTGGACTACATAGAACTCGGATGGGTTTTAGTGAGCATGCCTCCCCAAAGTCCTACCAGATCTCAGTCAGGGAGGGGATAGAATCTTCTTTTAAGGTGCACCTAAGTACAAATGATCACATTGGATTTTTTTTTTTAATTCACAAGTTCCTTTAATAAACTACTTTTGAGGGTCGACATGATTTCAATGGTAAACATCGTAGGTCCTAAAACATTCCTTTAGAGTTCCTCTCAAATTCCTCAGAAGGTTTCTCTCTATCAAAAATAAGATACAGCACAGAAGGCACTACAGTCACTTTTACAAACAAGACCGACAATGACAGCCCTACAGGATGGTTGGTGAAGCAGCCAGATACTGTACACAAGTGATTCATAAAGTGCTTTGCACAAACAAGGATTTCTTCCTCGTATTTTCTTAGGAGCTCAACAAGTCTATCTGTAGTTTAAGCATCAAAAAATAAAGCAAATAAAAACTCACAGGAGAATCCTTTTCGTGTCACTTAAAAACTAGAGAAAAACTATTTGGTGGAAACAAAGAAAGGCTAAAAACTTTTTTTTTTTTAAAGTTCTCTATGAAAATCTCTCAACATCCTGAGCCTGGCACAGCTTCACCTGATATCAGGTTTGCTCCCCTTATTCAAATGAGATAGCACCCCATTCTAAAATGAAAGAAAAGCATTTAACCCTGACTTTGTCTAGAAAATTCAATGCTAAGCTTCCTTCATGTAACTGAGTTCCAAGTTTTAAACCAATCTTGGTAAAGGAAACATAGCTATGTAGAAGCTTAAAAGCATCTAGAGAGACATTTAAAAAGAAAACATACTCAGTGTTTTTCAGAGAGGCAGCATCATATGCACAGAAGTTACTTCTCAAATTATGAATTATAACTTCAATTTTCTTAAAAAAAAAAGATTTACTTACTTGAAAGGCAGAGTGAAAGAGACAGACAGAGAGAGAGAGAGAGAGAGAGAGAGACAAATAATTTTTCTATCTACTGATTCACTTCCCAAATGGCTGTGACAACTGGGGCTGGGACGGGCCAGGCCAAAGTCAGGAGCCATGACTTTCATCTGGGGCTCCCATATGGGTACAGGGATTCAAGGATTTGGGTCATCCTCTGCTGGGAGCTGGACAGGAAGTGGAACAGTCAGGACTTGAATGGGCATCCATATGGGATGGCTGATGCTGCACGCACAAAGCCAGCCCTGACATTTTTGAGTTTCTAAAGATACTGCACTACTCATGTAAGACTTAAAAAACAAAAACAACAAACAGAATACTGCTTTTCCAACAAATTAAGTATAGTTTCCAAACTTCTGTAACAACCTTTCCCAAGTCCATGACACATTTTCACTAGACCTTTTCACTCGATACAAGTATTTTAGCAAATATCCTTAGTGGTAGTGAGTGTAGGCTGAAATACAGATAGTGGGACCAGGAGTTCCAGTTTGAAATCTTTAAGCAGTTTCTAATTCCCTGATTTAAGTTGTATCACTTTTCTCTCAGGTTCTTGGCTATAGCTTAAGTTGGGCCAGCTACTTTTGCTTTGATTTACATTCTTAAGTCCTGATAAGTGATCCTATACTCCTGACAGAGGAAGTATTTGCCATTAACGTAGCCACAATCAGTTTCTTTGCAAACTGTGATTTACACTACCCTTTAATAAAGGTTGATGGAAGTTACAAATAGAATATATTTTTTTCATTTGTGAAAAAATAAGAAAAATTTCAATTCTTAACACCACAGTAACTCTATAAAAACAACTGATGATAAGGCTTTACATACCATTCATTGGTCCCATCATTTCTAAAATTTCTGTTCTCTGCCTGAGGAATTCACATGCTAAATTACTCAACCTTTTGAAGACCAGGCTTGGGAAAAAAGAAAGGAGGAGAATGAATGCAGACACCACCATTTATTTTAGGTTGTATATTCTAGAAAAAAAGATTAAAGATTAGAGAGGTGCAGGATGTAGTGTAGAAATCAGTCAGAAGAAACAGTGAGATTATTAGCAAAGGTATTTAGTGTGGATCCAGCAAGTATCATTAATTTAAAAATTATAAATACTTGTCATTCTATGACCATATTTAGATACAGCAAGGATAATGATCTTTTTTTAAATGTTATTTATATAACAAAAATACAGGGACATACAATCTTGGTGGGATGTGTTCTTTTTCTTCCAATTCAATTAAATTTGAGATTCATTTTCTTTTTAATATAATAAAAATAGAACAAACTCAGAAATTAAAACCTGTATCTTACACTTAAATTACACACATTTCTCACAGGCTTTGTAGGTTTTTAAATTAATTATTGCCCATGGCATTTTATGCTCTGGACAAAGTAGCCACGTAAGTATTTGGTGACTGGAAGAGCTTAGGAGGAAGATATAAATTATATTTTCCTGAGAATTTGCTACATTGTGGAGAAAGAACATCCCAACCCCATGTTAACTGCTGGACCCACTGACCAAAGGCGGCAATGTGTGCCAGCATTCTCCAGCCTGCGTGGTTAGGCAGACACGTTCATGAGCAAGGAACAGGAAGCCACAGACCCCGGAGGTCAGGATCAAGATGCAGCATGCCCTTTCCCTATACCAAAAACACTCCTGTCACCTCTCACCCTCCATTCTATCTATTTACTTATTTTTAATAAAAACATTTCCCCCTCTCCCTCCATTTTATTTAAAGAGCTTCATCTTGAGGAAATTGGTCAAGGGCTGAACATGCCCCACACAGAGAAGGCATACTGCATTTTTGTTCCATCCCTCAGAAAGGAACCAGTGACAGCTAGGGGAAAGAGCTCCACAATAAAATCCCAGAACAGGAAAGAGAACGATACATGGTGATTGAAACTGCCCCGTCAAATGTTCAGGCATATATCCATCTGGTGGTTAGAAGGGCAGAGTTGACTGGCAAATCTTTCCATAGCAAATCTCCCAAGCTGTAGCAGCAGCTTCTTTCCATCATGCCTGACCGTCAAAAGGTCAGAATTCAGGCTCTCTCCTTTCTTCCTGGGAGTGGGCATACTTGTGTGCACGTAGTATTTGTGTTGAAGAAGAAACACTGGCAGCAGAGATTTCTGGATCCTAAAACAGTCTTCCCTCTTCTCTTGAATAGGAAACTCCATTCTGTTCCATACCAGCTTATGCATTGAAAATTTTGTATCTTTAAAAAAGGATTTGAGGAACAGAACTGTGTTTTGGTGTTAACAAATTTTACGAACACAAGACTTAAGAAATAAGAGTAGATGCTGCCATGATGGTGTGGCTACTTGAAGGCTGCAAATTCTCCTGCAGAGGGAGGACAAAAGCTAATTTTAAAAAGTTATCTCATCTTGGAGACACAGAAAGCCTCACTTGGACCTCCCTGAAAGGTGACTGGTTACATATCACAAACTTACCAACATCACCACTAATTTTGGAATTTCATGACATTATTTACTTATCTACCATTTTATTTACAACTTCTACTTGGAACTGAAGGTCAATTTCTATAGTTCATTTCTGGGAGTTGGTCAAGAACTGACAATCATCGGAATTTAATCTGCTATAATGACTCTTAATCAGTAGCTTCTGCAACGATCCAAGCCATCACTTATATGAATACACTATTTAACTGAGGAATAACCTCTCCAGTTTGTAACTGCTACTCGATTCTACCAGGTTGCTTGCAAATGTTGGCATGTAAATTGTCCAGTTAGCTAATGGCTGTCTGAATCCTCAGATTTGCAGGCTAATGACATTAGAACTGTGTGAGCACCTGACATATGCCAGGTCCTGCACTGTGCAATTCACACACATGAGAATCTGATTCTCCTAATAACTCTGATGTGGCAGACATTTGTATTAATTTTTATAGATGAATAAGTTGAGGTTTCAAATGGCCAAGTAATGTGCCTAACATCATGCAGCTGGAAAATTATGGAGTTGGAAGGCAAATGCAAGTAGGTTCTTAACAACTGACAAGTCTTTATATAATTTTTAAACAATTAATATTTATCATTCTAAACACAACTACAAATAGGACTAAATTTAGACTATCTCTTTCCATGCAAGGATTTTTTTAAAAACAAGTAATTAACCAAGATATTGTGGAGTTGAAATATCAAGAAGAATGAAAGAATTATTACTTGATATTCAAAGTTAAAAAGACTGGGGAGTTGGACATTGGTTATTTTTTTTAAAGAAGGTTACTGGGACCCTGGAGAGGAAAAACAGTTAGAGTATAACAACAGGAGGTTTTAAGACTGCTATTTTCAGTGATTTAACATATTTCTTTCAAGTGGTCTGCAATATTCTTATGAATAATCACTGTACTGGCAGAATCCAAGTCCCACCAAAGTAAGTATGAAAATAAATATGAAATATTGATTAAAAATAGCAAGAGTGCATCTATTAAATGATGGACTCTATTAATAGAAAATAAAAACTAAGCTAAGTGTTATACAGTATATTAAAATTGCTTAGACTTTGGACAGTGCTTCCTGGCCATGACAACAACTATATATTCCATTTCATTGAACAATATTCCACTCTACAAATTAAAAATATTAGACCTAAAAAGAAAAATTCTTAACAAATTCCAATAATAAAAAAAGGCAAACATTAAAATCATCATACCTAAAGCCTCTAATGGAATCAAGTCTTTGTAAAATCAGACTTAGGGTTCAAGAAAGAACAATCAAAGACTAAATAAAGGAAAACTCTATAACTGGCACCCAAATCAGAAAGAATTTAAAGGAAAGGATACAGATAACAGAGACAGATCTGATTTTGGGGGAAAACAAAAACAAAAACAACCCAACTTTCTTATTTTTTTAGCCTATCTGGACATCACTAGTGTTCTGCCTACAATCCATTATCTGACAGGGCAAGTCTGCTTGTGGGAAGTTATTTGATATGAAATACCTACATTATGCCACTTTTTGAAAATCTCATTGAGAAATCTGTTAGAGAGCAAAATGGAATATTCTCTTGCCCATCTTGTCAGGCTAGGGATAACATAAGTTCTATTTTTTATTTGATTTTATTTAGGAATAGGGTAGTAGACACTTGGGAAGACGGAAAACAAGACCTTGTGATTTCTAGACCCCTCAAGTATTGTAGTGCATTTGAAAGTTACAGATAATTAATTTGAAAACCGTACCAACTGCTCTCTAATTCAGCATAGTGTATTTTAAAATGGCCATTTTAAATATAAAACAATAGGATTAAAAATTATTTTAATTGAAAGAGTTACAGAGAGAGGGAGACACAAAGAAAGATCTTTCATCCCCAAATGGTTAAAATGGCCAGAGCTGAGCTGGTCTAAAGCTGGGAGCCAGGAGTTTCCCCTGGGTCTCCCATGTGGGTAACAAGGGCCCAACCATTTGGGTCATCCTCTACTGCTTTCCCATGTGCATCAGGAGGGAGCTGGGTCAAAAGTGGAGCAGCTGGGATTCGACCCAGTGGTTACACTGGCTGCCAACATTGCAGGCGGAGGATTAGCTTGTTGCACTACTGTGCTGACCCTACTTAATACAAATGTTTAAAGATAAAATATGCTATGAAAAGTCTAAGAGGTAATTTCATATACAAATAAAGAGTTACAGAAATGCTTACCAATTCAGCAACTCTTGTCAAATAAAAGTATGAGTGATAAAATGTTTTAGTCATGAAGTTCCTATTTCAGAATTTTTTTTTCACAGACCGATCATTTCCTTCAGTTGCCAGGGACTGAGCGGAGGGAAGGTCAGTTAGGCTAGGGTGTTCCACAGCTAGTGTTCTAGAGAGGATCATCTTCACTACTGTGTACTATTTAAATGATCACAGTGTGATATGTTCACACTTGAAAATAAACGACCTGAAGCCGGAGAGTATATTCTGTGACCTCTAAACTAAAGCAAATCTCAGTTTTTATCACTGAGTAGCAACATTTTAAAAACATAAAACAATTTACAGAAAGGTTGCTTCCTAAAGGAAATGAACTTTGATAATGAAAAAGGAGGGCTCAAGTTTGTGGAACAGAGCAGTGAGTCACAAAACAAGGAATGGATGTTTCAATGACCTCCTCAAAGAGATTAACTCTACATATGGTTAGGAAAAACTGTTTTTCTTCACCTGGAGAATATATTTAACACTCAGTATAAAAAGACCTCAAAATAGTAACATACAATAACCACCACTGACAGGAGAACTGATTCGATTCTAACGCGTCCTGTTTCTCCAGATTCACGTTTATCTAAACAGCTCACCTGCGGTGTGTTTTCTGTTCTCCCACTAACATTTCCGGTGGGTCCAATCTGGAAGGGGGCTGAGAATTACCACGTGACCCCTTGGAGACATGTGTGCATGTCGAGGGGATGGCACAGGGAGTTTCTGAGCAGTTTTACAAGCTCAGTAACGCTCCCTGGCAGGGAATTGGGCAAGATGGTGCCGGGGGAAAACAGAGCGAACAAAGGAAAGGAAGATCAAAGTGGGGTGCATGTCCTGGGAAAGTGGAAGAGGTCCATCTAGAAGAATCGGAACCTGCGCCTCAAATGCTCACACCCCTCGAATACTGCATAGACCACGTTGTCCATTTTGTTAGCTACACGCTTGCTTATTGGTGAATAAATAAATTGGTGTGATACTTCAAAATTAAATTATCACCACAGTTTGCCCAAATGTATTCTTAACTACATATATGCAGATGTTGTCTGTTGGAATACCCACGAATGGTCAGCTATACTCAAGAATCCTTACCCATCCCAAAAGATGCAGCTGTGGCTAGCAGGGTGGTTCTGGAGCCGAGGCCGACTAGGAAGCAGACAGCGATACTGCTTTCCTGCCTCCTGACTCCTCTGGCATCACTTAAGAATAGGCTGACATATTCAGTCACTTTTTTTTTTAACAGCAAAAGTGTAGGCCTTATAAAGTACTAACAAATACTATATGCCATGGAATGAAAAGAAAAAAAAAAGCTAACATTCACATTCATAAATAGAATCTTGCTAGGAAAAGATTATAAAAAGGACAGAAGTTTCATCAGACACAATGATCTGGTGATTGTTTAAATTACGCAAGCAATAATTTACGGTCACCAAGAAGAAAAACAAAACTACAATTCTTATACAGAATTCTGTGCAGAATTTGGGGTGGGGGACGTTTGAGAGCAGTGCATTTGCAAAGAAGTCCAAGTTATATAACTGTAAGGCATCCTTAATACAAAAAGAAGTATTATCTAAAAGGAGCTCTAATTTATAACATATTTTCCCCACTAAAAATCCAAAGGTAAATCATTTTACTCACACCACTCCTCAGTAATATCTTTGGACATTTTCACCCACAATTTATAAAAACAAATTTAGTTTATTGCTTCATAGAAATAAAGGACATCAAAATTCTAACTTTCTGAATTGTAGTAAAAAGAAATGGCTATTGGCATAATTTTACAAATAAAAAGGATTACTCAAAGTCAACAGTGCCTTTGTAAATTAGATTTGCTCAGTTTATCTTGACATGGGCTACCCTAGTCTCAGCTCCCATCTGCACACACGTCAGCTTCCTGAAGCAGCCAATGATGAATGGCAGCTGGTAACAAAGGCTGCACAACTCAGGTACAACTTAATACTGAAAAAAAACAAGCAAATGACACAAATGTGGAACAAGAAAGAAAATCTCTGGAAGAGACACTGCCAATTTTTAGCAATTTCTGTGTGTGTGTGTGTGTTTTTTTTTTTTTTACCTGTGGTTGTTGGAAATTCAATATTAGGAATGAATTTTAGTTTGGGGAAAAATACGTCCAGTCTTTAAGCACACAAATGTTCTTTGGTTCACCTTTTTAAAAGAACATCGTACTCCATATAACATAAGCTAACATATGTTCACGTATTTCCTTTTGTTGCTACCTTCCTGCAATCTCTCCCACTCATTTAATTTGTTTCAGTGGACAGGAAACGCACCATAGCCCCCTGCCTGGATGGGTGTTTTTGGAGAAGCACAAGCGTACAGACTAAAATCCTCCGTCTGGAAACCAGCCCGATTCAAGGAGGGTTCTGACGCACTGCGGTGAATTTTTGGCAATGAGCGGGCCAGCAGCTCGATAGAGGCGAGAATCTAAAGAAAGAAGGGAACAAGCAGAATGAAAATCTGGTGGCATATATCTTTAACAACCACATCATATTTTATAAGGAAGTACCTGAAATCTTAAAACTGTTGTATTAAAAAAATGCAAAAATACTTCAGAAAACATTATTATGTTTTTTCCTTAAAAATAAAACAAAGGTACCAAGTGACTACAACTTCTCTTTCTGTAAACTGTATGGAAAATGTAATCCATAATTAATCTGTATTTTATACTATCTGATAGTCTTGGAGCTGTAACACCAAAAATTCAAAACTTATACTTAATTTGTCACAAACTACAAATCCCATTTGGAAAGAAGCTGGGTTGTAATTTTTATGATTGTCTTTAAACTCACCTTTTAAAGACATTTGGTGATGATAAGTGTCTTACATTTAGATAACTAAAAGCAGGATCCTCAGTGACACAGACAACTAGTGGCACATCAATGACAGGAAACAACTCACGAGGGAAGACAAAAAATTCCACAGACAGAACTATACAAAGCACAGAAGTTCACTAAGGCGCCATGAAATGACCACCACCCACCTTCTCCATACCTCGACCCTCCCCACCTAACTGGAGGCCCTTACGGGCATGCACCCCTCTAAACTATGTAAACTATTACAGATAAAACAAAAAGTTAAAAAAAAGAAATAATAATAATAATTTAAAAAAAAGAAATTCACATTTCAGGGTACAAAAAAAAAAAAAAAACCAGGCTGCAGCATGCTGTGAGAGGATGTATGCTGACAATCAGGGACATTGACTTCTTGGGCTTGGCACAATGCCTGGCATATTAAGCACTCAATACAAGTTTAGCAGCTTTTATTATCCATTATTAGCAGCCTGAATTGTCAAAATCTGTAAAACTGTAATCTTTTAAAAATAATGTACAGTTCATTTATTTATTTTTAAATTTATTTTTATTATACTGGAAAGGAAGGTTTACAGAGAGGAAAGACAGAGAGGAAGATCTTCCCTCCACTGGTTCACTGCCCAAGTGGCTGCACTGGCCAAAACTGAAGTCAGGAGCCAATCTGAAGTTAGGAGCCAGGAGCTGCTTCTTGGTCTCCCACGTTGGGTGCAGGGTCCCAAGGCTTTGGCCCATCCTCTACTGTGGGGAGCAGGGTGCTAAAGCCCCTCCTGGGATTGGATGAGGTTGTTGCAAGATGGCAGCTGGCCCAGGGCCAGGAGCGGAGCTGGTCTTGCCAGCAGGTAAACAGGAAGTCACAGGGATAGGCTAATGACCCCTGCTGTGATTACTGGCCTATCACGTAGCGCCAAGTGGGCCCACGGGGAGAAGTGATTGGTGGAGAATGATATAAAAGTAGCCAGTAAGGGCCCGGCGTGGTGGCACAAGTGGTTAAGGTCCTTGCCCTGCACGCCCGGGATCCCATAAGGGCGCCGGTTCTAATCCCGGCAGCCCCGCTTGTGGCCCGGGAAAGCAGCCGAGGATGGCCCAAAACTTTGGGACCCTGTACCCACGTGGGAGGCCCGGAAGAGGCTCCTGGCTTCGGATTGGCTCAGCTCCAGCCGTTGCGGCCGCTTGGGGAGTGAATCATCGGACAGAAGTTCTTCCTTCTCTCTCTCTCCTCTCTGTATATCTGCCTTTCCAAGAAAAATAAAATAAATCTTAAAAATAAAGCAATGTAGTTATAAAAAATGAGAGAAAGGCAGGCTGTATCCACAGCTATGTTTTCTTCTTGTTTCAGGTGGAAATGTCCCTCAAAGACCTGTTTATGGTAAACTTGAACCTATCTACTTTACCAGTCGGAGCTGAAGCACTGGTCTGCAAGTTATGGCCTGCAGGTCTCCAGGGAATGCATGATGTTATTACTTTTTCCCATCATTATTTTACAAGTGTAAGTGGACTTTTTGGTAACTGGAGTTTTCAGAGGCAACAAGAGATACCACTGCACAGTGAATGCAAAAGCACAGAATCCAGCTGTTAGTTTTGAAAACAGTTGCAACAAATATATATTCTTCTTGTTCTTTTTTTTTGTTTTGTAAAATACATATATGTTTAAATGTTATTTAAATGGCAGTTTCATTATTTTAAAAATTCATAAATATAAAAATGTAGTATCTTGGTGTGACAGTAGAAAAAGAATTCAAAATGCGGGGGTGATGGTTCTGGTGCAACCAGTTAAGCTATTACTGTGCCAGCATCCCACAGGAATGCTAGCTGGAGTCCTGGCTGTTCTACTTCCAATCAAGCTCCCTGTTAATGCTCCTGGAAAAGCAGCAGAACATGGCCCAAGCTTTTGAAGCCCTGGACCCACAGGAGTTCCAGGCTCCTCATTACAGCCTGGCCCAGCTTCAACCATTGTGGCCATTCTGGGAAGTAAACCAGCAGATAGAATATCTATCTATCTATCCATCCCTCTCTGTTTAACTCTGCCTTTCAAATAAAAAATAATCTAAAATGCATCAAAGGGCCCTGAGACCAAAACGTGTTAGACAAAATGCAAACTGCTGGACAAAATGCAAGGCTCTTCTGATTATTTTATAGCAGGATCCCAAATTTCCATCTAACTCTTACAAAAATTGCTTTCTTGTGTTATTTATGCAAAGTCTGCTCATATTTACATGAAAAAGTACTTGCAAATCTGCATCTGAATATTGGTCTGGTTTTCCAGGTCTTACCTGGGGGAAGAGTGGTCTCTCATCTCTTTTCTTTTTGAGGCACTCTGCCATTAATCTCTTCATGGCTTTTGGACAGTTACTCCGTACCTTACTGAGATCTGGAGAGAGGTATCCACGTCCCACCATAAAAATGATCTGAAGGAAAAAAGAGAGGCAAATCACAGAAGCTTGTATATAAGTTAAAATAAACCCGGAACATTCAACATGTGCAATTTGAGATTTGCATATTATGTACACTACACTTCAATGAAGTTTTAAAAAATGCTGGTATTTAGATTCCCAAACCACATGCTCAGATCTTCCTAATCCCAGGATTATGGCAAGGGTCTGTTCTCTCTATTTGCCCAGCCATTTTCCCACTGACTGGGTAACTGTTTTAACATAGACCTGATAGTGTCTCTTCTTTTTTTAATAACAAAAACTACTGAGAACTTATTGTTGGATATCTTGAGAAGTCCTTTAAATATGTGTAATAGTTTCGGAAAGTTAACCTTTTTAAAAAGACAGTCATTTTGCCATTGTATTTCCAGCCCTCTTATTGCAGAAATTCGAATAAAGTATTGGATCATACAAATCTGAGAACCAGAAAGAAAGTAAGATTATTGGGACTAAAGTGTTCTTTTCTTTTTTTTAAAGACTTATTTTTATTATTATTATTTTTTTTAAAGATTTATTTTATTTTTATTGGAAAGGCGGATATACAGAGAGGAAGATCTTCCATCCGATGATTCACTCCCCAAGTGAACGCAAGGGCCGTTGCTATGCCGATCAGAAGCTAGAAGCCTCTTCCGGGTCTCCCACGCGGGTGCAGGGTCCCAAAGCTTTGGGCCGTCCTCGACTGCTTTCCCAGGCCACAGGCAGGGAGCTGGAAGGGAAGCGGGGCTGCCGGGATTAGAACCAGCGCCCATATGGGATCCTGGGCGTGCAAGGCGAGGAAGACCTTAACCACTGCGCCACCGCGCCGGGCCCTAAAGTGTTCTTTTCAACAGGGGAAAAAAAAATCTTGCCTTCCCTGAGAATAGTTTTAGATCCAGATGGAGTTCTAGGCTCTTGATTTTGGCTTGTCCAAGCTGCCATCAACTGGGGAGCGAGCCAGTGGACGGCCGATCTCTCTGTTTTATCCTCTCTCAATAACTACCTTTCAAATAAAGAATATACTTAAACCAAGCAAAACAAAACATCTAACTACCTTACTAGAATTTTCACTAAAGAAAAATCAAAGCATAATGTGACATCTCTACTACTTAACTCTTTTGGAAAGCCGAAAAAGAAAAACCTTGAAACATTTAAAAGAATTTGATATAAATAAGCTTATAGCGAGTACCTGACTTGATGGTATAATCCGTGATACAACGAAAGATATAAAGATGTTAGAGGTAACGGAACTCATTCTTTTAATTGTATTATCCTCAAGAAACACCATGTATTTTCATTTATCTAGTTTTTAGTCAGAAAACCAAAAATTTGCTTCATTGCACATTTAAGACCAGTATTTCAAGGAAAGGCTTTACATGTTTCCAGCAGTGCCAGAAGTACACAAACAACAACTAAGACCTATCTTCAAGTTCACTCATGACTCCACAGTTCTTTTCAATAACTGAGTGGAATCTTTGTTATGAGGAGTAAAATAAGCCCAAGTGACAGCAAATATTTACCTGGTCCCTGTTGTTGATGTTTGAATAAGGTAATTGTCCAGTCATCAATTCATACAGAACAATCCCAAATGCATATACATCTGACTGAAAGCTATACGGGTTTTTGTCTTGCATTCTAATTACTTCTGGTGCCTGTTACAACATAAATAGAAAAACATTCTAGTTTCTTCTTCAACAGAACAAAAACAGAAAACTACTGTAACATCCCGAGTAATGCTTTTACTATTAAAAAATTCATCTATACGTAGTTAAATATCGTATTAAAGTCAAAGAAAAACAGATCTAAAAAGATGAAAGATAAAATCTTTATAAACTCCTAATAAGGCAGTATCAACTGAGAGTCCATAGTGCATTATTAAAATTCCATAATTGTATCAGTCTCTGCACAAAATACTTTCACTATCACTTGAATTCTTTCCATGATGTGTCCTATCAGAGTCAGTTATCACTTCTCTGTCATGATTCAGCAAAGAAATACCAGACTTGTGTTGATAAAGTTATAAAATGAGGAAATAGTAAAACTATTGTAACTGTCTCAGAATTTACCTTTTTCCACTAATACAAATAATGGAAAATAATGGTAGAATTTCAAGACTGCTAAATTCCCTTCTAAGCCATGGAATAAACATTCCATGGATGCTGAACCAACAAAATCAACAGCACATTTAGAAGGGGGTACAAAAGATCTTTTGAATGCTGCCTCTTGGGGGCGGGGGGAGAAAGACTATGTAGATTTGCTACATTTCACATACATCAGTCACTATATTGCATAACTGAGTTTCTTATTTACATGAAATGCAAGACATTGGTTAAAAACTAGTTTCAAATATTTTATGCTAATAGTATTCCTGACTGCAAAAGTGGCTTTCTGCCTTTTCTGAGGATTCCTGACTACTGGTGTAGTAAGGCCATGTGTCCCTCAGCCTCAATCACAACCGTAAGGGGAACCTCTGAGTGGCCCAGTGCCAGACTGCACGCAGGGTGGTGGGCAGCACATCAGGAGAGCGAGGTTAGTCTTTAAAGCTACAGAGCTGATTTGAACGTCCTGTCACTGATGGGAGGTCTGTAGGAGACCTAGAGAGAGTAGAAGGGTACGGGTGGAAAAGGTTGTAAATACTTGCTCATTTTATTTTATTGAATAACGCTTTTAAATAATGAGTTTTAAACATATCACATGCCACTGAGGTGATGAACAAGCCAGAGTACCCAGGAGGCTGGCTGTGTTAAGACAGTTTCTAAAGGCTAAGTCTGTTTTTTGTGAGAGTACATCAGCTGAAGACCTTTTTTTTTTTTTAAAAAAAAATTTAGTTTTGCTTCACTGTAGTTAGAAGGCGGCTTGATGAAAAGTTGTATGTTACCAATTTATAACAAACATGCGACTAATGTTAGTTTTAGTGGTTAATTTGTAAATTTGTTTCAACAAAAGTTTCTTTCTCTGTTGCATGAAGTGCACTGTTGGTAATTTAGAGGACCACACAACTTTAGTTCTGACCAGATGCTTCTCTTCTAGTCTGTGGATACTCTGTATTTAGTTCTGAAAGCAGTATCAATCTAGAGAATTTTTTTTTTCTTACAGTGAAGTGTTTTACTGGTTTTATTTTGTTTCAGAACTCACATAATGGACTAATGAATGATCCTATCTCTCTATGTGTTAATAAAAAAGTATAAGAAAACAGATAATGTCATGTGTAGTAAAGCATTCACTGCATAACAGCCTTGGAAAATAGAAGACCTGAAGGAGCCTAACTTTCTTACACCAATTAAAAAAAAATCTTTAAAACAGTTGACAAATGTTTCTTTTTAATTTTAGCTTTTGCAATTTGAGCACTTAAAATCTGGCTTTCCTATCTTAGGATATTCTACCATGTCTGCTATAGATGTGTGCCTTAAAGGTACCTGGGATTCAGATTACAATGATTAACTAGACTTCAATGCTTTTCAACTAAAGACATCTATTAAATTAAAAAAAAATCTAGCTAACTCCAATTATTCAATTTAAACATAGTGTAGGCATTAGAGATGCACTACTCCAGCTCAATATTTCAGAGATTCAGAGGTTAAGAAACCTCCATGTAACTCAAGTCCAACATCCTCTCTTACACCTTGCCACTTTTCTGTCCTATTAATTATCCTAAAAAAAAATCAAAGATACAACTCTGGGTTAAGCTTGATGAACTCAGAATCCTACTCTGGAAGTTCCATCTTGGGGACCACTACCGAGAATGCAGGAAATTAAAGCAGATGTGGTTTCAAAAGCTCTTGCAACTTTGTTGTTTCCAGTAGAGCATCTCAAAAGTCTTATCATAGATCAAGTTACACTCTGTTTAGCTTAAAGCTGCAGTTTTCAAACATACTGGTGTTAGAACTCTCTTTCACTTAAACATCACCACAAAGAACTTTTGTTCATAGGGATTATTTCTGTGGATATTTATACTGGCATTTAACTAATTCACTTAAATCAACATAGTCATTAAATGTTAATCCTGATCACCAACTGCTAATGAAAAATGTATTTTCAAAAACATGTTTAGTGAGAGCAGTGCAGTGATGCTCTCTAAGGTCTGGCAGCATAGCGGAAGGCAGGGTTTCTTCATCTGTATTTAACCTAGAGTGACTGTGTTCTTTTTGGTTGAGGGATAGGAAGAAAATCTGATGTCCGAGAGGAAAGGTTTCTTGTGGGCCTTCTGGGGGCTGCTGGTATACAGAACGCTTCCTACCACGGATCCTTCCATCACTTGCTGCAAAAGTTTTAGTTCTTCTTTTAGAACTTTATTCTCTTCTGCCAAGCATAAACAGGAATAAAGTATAAGCTACACAAAACAGCCTGAGGCCGACAATGTTCACATTTTTTGCTTTCTTGTAGCATAATTAGCAGATCCTTTTCAGTCTAAAGCAAAAAGCTTTCCAATTTAGGCTTATGTAATATTGTGAAAACAGTCTACCTATTAAAAGGATTTAAATGAGACTGGCCTTAAATTATGTAAGCGTTGTTTCAAATGAGGTACAAAAAACTTTCAACACAAAATATTTTAAACGGAAAATTCTGAATAAAACACAGACACTACAAAATATAATTATGAAACTGGCTTCATAATATTCTTTTTAAAAATAAACAAGTTAAGGTCTACTTATATAAAAATAACAGTGATGTCTATGAATACTGGCAACAATGAAAATATTTTCAATGATTTTCTAGTAACACAGAACATTTCAGGGGCCACAAACTTAATCAACGGTGACATAGCCTCAATTCTTACCATCCACAGAATGGATCCAGATAACTGCTCAAACTGATGGGACCCACTCCATCGAGACTTCACTGTGGCTAGACCAAAATCACCTATTTTTACTGTGAGGTCTTCATGAAGAAATATATCTGAAGTGCAGTAAGTAAAGGAAAACAACAGATCTCATTTTCCTATTAGAGTAAGTATCACAAAGACTTTGACTAAGAGGTCTAGCTTCTATAATTCTGTAATACGATATTCTTTTAAAAAGTATATAATTAAAATCAGTAAGTTAAATAAAGTTCTATCGATCTGATATGATCTGCTCTTACTATGTCTTGCTGGGGACCTGAAACGTGAGGATGAGGCATGATACCTTCCTGGGTTTATGAGATCTTAAAATTCCTCATTTGCTTTAGTCATGGAGGCCCAAATATTCTTTGGCATAGATGGAAAAGCTATAAGGACTCCTCATTAGAATTAAGACGCTAATATAATAGAATCTTAGCTTGGGCTCTTAGAGAATTAGAAAAATTGTTTCATAATTTAGAGTTTTTAGTTATGTTCAAATACCTCTGAGCAAGCTCAGAGGGCTAAAACAAACGATTAGTTTTATAGTGCTGATAGGATGAATGTAATCAATTAGTCAAAAGGCTATTATTTTATAAACACTTTTGATAGATTTTTCCTGTAACAGTGAATAACTTAGAAACAAAAAGTAGGCTGTAGTATCCTGCTCTTTAATATTCTCATGCGAACTCATTTACTGATTCTCTTTACAGTATATTGAACTTTTACATAATGTGAAGACAAAATGCAGAAGAAAAAGGATGTTTCAAACTTCGCAGAACTTTCATGAAGGATACTATTACTCTTGAGGTCTCTGTGGATGATTGACTTGGCGTGTAAGTAACTGAAAAACAAAACATCATTTTAACCTGAGTAGGGCTAAAGGACTCTGACCTCAAAGTCTGTAACATATTTAGGGATGTACAGAATTATTTAGAGTCTTAATATGTTGGAAACTATACATAAGTTATACTCCCTTTATATAATATGAAAACAGGCTGTAAGTTAATTTAGGATTACAGAAACATAATATTATTATAGTATAGCCAAATCTTGTTTTCCATTGACTCTATCTGAGTAGTTATCAATACAAACCTTGCACTCCAAACAGGCTTATATATCTATGTTCTTTAAATATGTCTTGATTTTTTTTAACCCCACCTCTGTGTTCAATGCTTTCTTCTGGCACCCGGTCCCTTCCTACTCACAACTTCAAATTATCATTTTTCTATTTTTTGTCTATCTCATACTCATCCTGTAAGAATAAACACAACCCCCTGTGGCCACAGGAGAGAAAATGGAAACATTTACCTCATTCATCTTTTCCCCAACGCTGACCCTCTCCATCCTAATAGAAGCCCACCTGGATCTACAATCCAACCCTCTCACCTTTGCAATAAATGCTAAAGAAAAGAAAAAAAAAAGAACACCACAAATCTAAATTTCTGAGTGATATTTACTCATAAGTAATTCAATGGAAAGTGACTGTCCATTGATTGCACTGTATAGATATTATCCTATTAGAAGCTTGGGTTATATGTTTTTTTCCCCATACACCTGTGTTTGTCCTATGAAGAATATAAACCCTAATAGAATGTAAAAGTTTGATAAAATTCCTTTTAAAGGTGGTTTCATATATTCTTAAAGTCAGTAACAAACTGTAATGGCCACAGCGGGTCTATGTTAAAGTCAATGATAAGCTTAAGTCATATATACTATCTCTACTGACAGCTTTAGTTGTACTCAAGAAAGGAAAGGACTATGTTTATTTCAGTTTATTTGCAGTGGTCAGGACAAAGCCTGGCATGTGTGCTAGGCATTTAAGATATGTCTGTTAAATCAAGTACAATAACATGCATTTAATGTCCTAGATTACAATTATCTTTCATCTTTTACTAGTGTAGACAACAGATACATAAAATCTGACAATTACCATTAAAAGTATTATTAATTAATATGAGAATTTTAAAGTTACATCACAATTTTTCATATTTTCTTATTTTAATTTAAATTTCCTTTCTGATATACAAGGTTTTGAAACTAATTTTTTAGACAAAAATTTCATTTCAAATTACTCCCAACTTCTCTCCCAACTCCTCTCTCTTCTCTCTTACCACTCTGGTTACTTCCCTGACAGCAATCACCACAACCTAATATTATCAAAACCTGAATTTGGGTTACTGTACAGCACCGTCGAGTCCTGTGCCCATGTAGAAGACCTGGATTGGTTTACTGGATCATGTTTCAGCATGGCCAGCCCTGATGGCTGTGCACTTTTGGGGTATGACCCAACAGACAGAAACTGCCTTCTCTTCCCCTTTCCCTGTCTCTCAAAGTCTTAATCTGGGATGTCTTTCACTATGGGTAAAGAGAAAGTCTCTCTCTTTTTTAAAGATATTATTTGTTTTTATTGGAGCATCAGATTTACACAGAAGGAGAGACAAAGATCTTCCATTTGCAGGTTCACTCCCCAAGTGGCTGCAACAGCCAGAGCTAAGCCAATCCAAAGCCAGGAGCCAGGAGCTTCTGAGTCTTCCACACAGGTGCAGGGTCCCAGGCTTTGACCCATCTTCTACTGCTTTCCCAGGCACAAGCAGAGACCTGGAAGGGAAGTGGAGCAGCCAGGATAAGAACTGGCACCCATGTGGATCCTGGCACGGCAAGGTGAGGACTTTAGCCACTGGGCTATTGCGTTGGGCCTTTAAAAATGTCTATTTATGTCTATATATAGAGATTTATTTATTTTAACTGAAAAGGCAAATTTATAGCTCCTTGCCTGTGGCATGGGAAAGGAGCAGAGGATGGTCCAGAGCCTTGGGACCCTGTACCTGTGTGGGAGACCTGGAAGAAATTTCCTGGCTCCTGGCTTTGGATTGGCTCAGCTCTGGCCATTATGGCCACTTGGGAAGTGAACCAGTAGATGGAAGAACTTTTTTTGTTTCTTCTTTTCTCTCCGTAAAAATCTGCCTTTCAAATAAAAATAAATATATCTTAGGGAAAAAAATGTGGTCGTTCCCTGAGGTATAAAAAGAAGACAGACCACACATTCATTCACTATTTTATAATAAAAGTGACACAACTGACTTACCTTTTAAAATTCTTGTAAGTTTTATCTTTTAAGTAACTGAACCTCCAGCAGTGTATACACTGAGTTACTGTGCTCTTATTCTCTTATACTTTGGGATTTTAGAATAAATTTTGATGAATGATCAGAGAAGATAATTTCAAAACTGCAGTATTAAGTAGTTATTTAAGTATTTTATAGCCAATCTAGAGCTGGACTCTCTCTTGCTTGTTCAGTCCTCTGTGAGGAGATGGCACGAACGGAAGGGAACCCACATGAACAGTTACAAGCAAGCCCAGTAGGATGGCAGTTGGCTGCGGGGGGTGGGGGGCGGCGGAGAGAAGCAGAACCATCAGCACTTGGAGTGGGTCAAGTGCAGAGTCCGAAGGCTCAAGGAAAGAGAGCTACAGGGTTGCTAAGAAGCTGCAAATTATCCAAACATGCTTTTTTTTTTTTTTTAAAGAACTGTTGAAAATAACTCCAAAACAAAGTCCTAAGGATGACTGTAGTTAGTGCTCAAGATGGACAAGCACTGTGAATGGGAAGGATTCCACAAGTGTCATCTGACACATGTGAATGGACAAGAGAAAGTAAAAACAGGGAACTAAATCCGAGGCTGAAATGAGCGAACAGAAATCAAAAGGGAAGTTTAGATCTGTTATAAAGTTGTTAACAACAGGTAAGGCCTGAAGAACTGCTTCAAGATTTTCACAATCATTCTAGTTAACCTTAAATCTGCTAGTCTTTACCTTAGGAAAGATTCTGATTGTCTTTTAGCAAGAGAAATACAGTACTAATACAAAGAAAATGGTGTGTTTTAGTCACTGATGTGAGAGATGAAAACATGGCATCTATTTCAACAAGAATCCACATAATGTAGGAAAATCTGCACATTTAAAAAATCTAGATGTCTGAATTATGCCACATAACAAAGTATGTGTAGTTTGTATAACAGTTCATAAAATGTTTTTACCAAACATTCCTTTAACAGATTTAAAGGGACACGGTGGGTATGGGGCCTAGGGGTTAGGACTCCTGTGTCCCACGCTGGACTGGCAGCTCTGATGTCTAATTCCAGATTCCTATTATTGCAAACCCTGGGGAAGAGCAGCATGGTTCAGCTACCTCGATCCCCACCACTGCTATGGCACATCTGCATGTGGTTCCTATGGACACTCGGGAAATGAACCAGTAGGGTTCTGTTTGGCTTTGTGTCTTCAATAAACACAAAGAAACCAAAATTCTGAAAAGTGATTTAGTTTGAAAACTTGTTTAGACTTACTCCTACATTTTAATTGACCCTGAGCAAGTCTTTTTTTTTTTTTTTTTGAAAAATGATGCCATCACATAATTCATGAACACGTGATGAATTTAACTTGAGAAAAGAGACTATTTGGAAGGAATCAAACTGAAATAACATCAAAACACATGGGATACAGCCAAAACAAACAAACAATCCAAAAAACAGTACAGATTGGATTATTGGAGTTACACTTTCCATGTTGGCTTCCTTATATAAGAGAGAATATATGGTATTTGTTCTTTTGTGATTGACTCATTTCACTGAGCATAATGGTCTCTAGTTGGGACCACCTGGTTGTAAATAGAATAATTTCATTCTTCTTAATAGCTGAATAATATTCCATGGAGTAGATGCACCACAGTTTCTTTAACCACTCTTCCTTGGACGCATATCTGGATTGTTTCCATGTCTTTGCTACTGCAGATTGTATTGCTGTAAACATAGGATTACAGATCCCCTTCTCACATGCAGACTTCACTTCTTTCACCAAGCTTTTCAAACTGCTTTTCATCTTATCTCTGCATACCATACCCATAATTAGTATTGCTATTTCTTAAGACTCTGTGGTATAAATCAATTTGGATTTTGTTTCTCCAGTGCCAACTAATTATTCTGCTTTTTGGATCTACCAAATCCATGATAACTTTTTTCATCTGTTTTTCAGATTTTTAAATTGTTGCTGCTGCGGTGAGCATTTTTGCTTGAGCAGCTGAGCTGTCTCTAACCCATATAAGAGTGTTTTTACGTTTCAGCCCTGGCTCTGCTCCTGGTTCCAGACTCCTGTTCATGAGCATGTGGGGAAGCACCAAGTGATGGCTCAAACTAGCAGGTCCCGGCTGCCTGCATGGGAGATCCAGACTGAGTTCTGGCTCCTGGTTTCAGTCTGGTTTAGTCTGACCATTTCAGGCATTTTAAGAATGCATCAGTAGAATAGAAGCGTTGTCTATCTCTCTTTAGAGGTTTATATTTATATGTAATTAGGTTTACATTTTTCATCCAAGTGCTTTAAAAAAAATTTCATTTTTATATCTGTACCTAAGGAGTTGCACTAAAATTGCTCCTGAAAATTCAGTTCTTTATTTTTGCCTATTTTTGTTTTCTTACCCTATTTTTAGCTAAATCATTGAGTTATACACAAAAACTTGTAGTTACATATTTATTATCAAATACTTGATGCAAGTTTTGAAGACTTGAAGACTGCACTAGAGAAAATATTTCCAGCGCTACAGTGCTAGTCATTAAAGTGCCAGCATTTTGGCAGACAATAATTTATAAAGCAGTTTAAGAGAGTATCAACAACAGTCTTTAAAACATCCTCACTGGTTTTCAAAAGTAACTTACAAGAGATTTAAAAGAATGGAACTTACTCCATGCCCTGTGCAGTCTGTCGTGCAATGTCTATAAGTTTGATCATCTCAAATTTGGTCTCAATGATGTGCAGATGGTGATATAAACTGGAGCCCTCACACCATTGGGTAACAATAGCTAGTTGTGGTTTTGTGGAATAGCCCATGAAAAGTAGGATATTCACATGTCGTGTTTTCCTGTAAAAAGAAATTTGACAGTAAATGTTAAATGTCAATAAACTGTAGCCATTATTTAAGAAAAAGAGCCAATATTCTATAAGTTATATGTATCAGAATAATATATAAAGTAAAAACAACAACAAAAACCCAGAAGAATAATACAAAACCCCCTCCTTCATTCAAGTATCTTTCTTAATATACTTGAAAAACAACTTGAATTTGCTTTTAAACACCTTCAATCATGGGACTTTTCACTGAGAATTAGTTACACCACCTACTTCACGCTATTTTAGTTTTAGAAAATCCTCTTGTGTTGAGACAAAAGTCATTTTTCTACAACTTCCACAAATGGCTTCCTTGAATTGCTCTCTGGAATAAATCAGAATAATTTTGTACCTTTATGAACACACACACACACACACACACACACACATATCTTCTATGGATTAATTGGATTAATTATCATCAGTTCTATTGACCATTTTCCCCCAAGTTAAAGCTCTAGAATCTTTCTGATTTGTGTTGTCCTATTCTGGACATATTCTAAAGTCCAGGGACCAAAACTAAATACAGTCTCCAAAAATACTGATTAGAACTGAGATGTCCCCCACCCCCAGCTGCAGGCAACTACCTAGGATGCCTTTTACGCAGGCAAGTGTTACAATGCTGGGAGAAAACCAGCTAATAGGTGAAAGCTGGCAGGAATTCTGGGCCAGTTTAATGCCAAATTGGTGTTAATTATACCACGGTGCCAGCATAGGTGCCTTTTCCTCTTCTACTTCTTTTTAATAAGATATTTTAAAAAGGGAAGGTGGGGAACAATGGTCCATGCCCATGGCAGAGAGGTTGCAGAGTGCCCAAGGTGGGGGTCTGAGGACGTGTTCAAGTGGGAACAGCTGAGGGCATGTTTGACAGGGGAGGAATGATTTCTTAGCTTCCATGGACAGGCCACTGTACTCGAGGGTAGGTGAGGGAACGGAGATGGAGTGGTTTAGAGGGGAGATACTGGAGGGGATTTCTGGGTCAAGCCAAGGCACTTGCCCATGTGGAATCAATGGAAATATCATATTCTGGTTATGTGAAATTTTTTTTAAAGATTTATTTTTTATTTTTTTTTTTTGTTGGAAAGGCAGATACACAGAGAGGAGAGACAGAGAGGAAGATCTTCCGTCCGATGATTCATTCCCCAAGTGAGCACAACGGCCGATGCTATGCCGATCCAAAGCCAGGAGCCTCTTCTGGGTCTCCCATGTGGGTGCAGGGTCCCAAGGCTTTGGGCCATCCTCGACTGCTCTCCCAGGCCACAGGCAGGGAGCTGGATGGGAAGAGGGGCTGCCGGGATAGAACCGGCGCCCATATGGGATCCCGGGCGTGCAAGGCAAGGACCTTAACCACTTGCGCCACCGCGCCGGGCCCACCTTAACCACTTGCGCCACCGCTGAAATTTTTCCACTTAAGAGACAAGGCCCTTTCTTCACACACACCAGCAGGTGCCACAGCCTAAATACCAATGTTTACACCCATCAGCATACATGTAGGCTGGGTCTAGGGGCAGGTTGGGCTGAGCTAAACTACAGTACCTGTGGGTATGCAAAAGAGCCAGATGAGATATGGGATGGACCAGGCAAGACCGCAGCAAATGCCAGGATGCACAATAATCAGATCCGAGGGCAGGTCTGGAGGATTACTGGGGTTACCTTGACTAGGCTATGGCACCTGCTGGTGTGTGTGAAGAACGGACCTTGTCTCTTAAGTGGAAAAATTTTCACATAACCAGAGTATGATATTTCTATTAATTTCACCTATTATTAGATCTTCTATCAGCTACGACATGCATATAATACTGCATATAATCTAAAATATAAATAGAAAATACATCCAGACATACTGTTTCTATATAATTAGAATAATTATGTTTTGAATTTTTGGATATAAATATTTTGACTAAGTCTATAGAGTTAACAGTGGCTACAACATAAAAGTAGCAATCAGCAAAAGAACAACTCTTTTCTTTGCTAGTCAGTAATTCTCAGAAGCTCACCTGAGTACTCCTACTTCATTTTTGAAGGCCTGTAACTGCTGAGGTGTAGGTGCTGTCACATTCAACATTTTTACTGCCACATCACCTAAAAGGTAATTGTCATTCAAATGTCATTCAAATGTTTAAAAAATATAAAACATTCTTTGGTCTCTTAAATAATTATCATAGTTCCCAAATATATATAGCTTTATTATACTGGAAATAGATTGTACTTTAAGTGTCTAAAGAATAATTTAAATTTTTAAGGTTTTTAAAAATTTTTATTTGAAAGTCAAAATTTATAGAGGAGAGACAGAAATCCTTCATTTGTTGGTTCATTTCCCAAATGATCAAAATGAGCTGTTTTGAGCTGATTCAAAGCTAGCAGCCAGAACTTTCTTCCAGGTTTCCCACATGGGTGCAGGGGTCCAAGGCTTTGGGCTATCCTCTTACGCTTCTTAGGTCATAAGCATGGAGCTGGATTGAAATTGGAGCCATCAGGACAAGAACTGGTACCCATAAGGGATGCTGGTGCCACAGGCTTAGGATTAGCCTGTTCACTGTGCTGGTCCCAAGCTATGTTAATTTTTAAAAATTAATTTATTTGAATGGTAGAGTTGGAATGGAGGTGGTAAGAGGGAAAGATGAAAACACTATACAACCAAATATAGATGCATTTTTATAACATATTCAGTCAAGAGGTTAGACACAAAAAAGTACATATACTATGTGAATTCTGTTAAGGTCAGCATAGTGGTGATTCTTAGAGGAGAGGTTATTACCTTAGGAATACATGAGGAAGAATTCTGAAGTGTTAGCAATATTCAGTTTATTGGCCATAGATATGTCATGTGATTTTTCCTTCCTGTTCATGTATACACTTTTAAAATACTATACACGTAACTTTCAAAACTTAATTTCTCCCAATTATCAAAATAATAGTGCTCATTTCATCAGCTATACCATATAAATGCACATTCCTATTCAAAGCATTTTGAGACATGAAGAAAAAAGTCTTATAATCTCTCATAAATGCCTTTATTCAAGTATATTTATATACAAGGAATCTTCAAAAAGTCAATGAAGGGCCTAGCTAATCCTCCACCTTGAAGCACCAGCATCCCATAGAGGTGCTGGTTCGTGTCCTGGCTGCTCCACTTCCATTCCAGCTTTCTTCTGATGGCCCCGTGAGAGCAGCGGAGGACAGCTCTGAAACCTGCTCCCACCCTGGCGTCTCAGAAGAAGCTGAAGGCTCCTGGCTTTGAACTGGCTTGGCTCAGGCCCAGCCATTTGGCTATTGAGTGAATCAGTAGATGGAGGCTCTTTCTCTCTTTGTCTCTCCTTCTCTCTGTAAATCTGCCTTTCCAATGAAAAATAACATAAACTTTAAAAAGTCTATGGGAATGGACAATATAAAAAACCTATGTGAGGACTTCAATTTTTTTTTTGCACCAAAATAAAGTTATATATTTTTACTGCTTATTCTGATACGTATCTCATACCATACTATACTATACTGTACATTTATGGATACATATGAGAAAATAACCTAAAGAGATATACACTAAAATGTTGGGTTATTTTTTCAGTTATTTCTCTCTATTATTCATTTGAAAGGCAGGGAGGCACAGAGATCTTCCAGCTACTGGTTTACCCCCTAAATACCAGCGACATTAGGTCCAAAGGAAGCCATGTAGGTCTTTTCACACGGATGAAGTACCTGAGTACAGACTGGCAGGAAGCAGTCAGGACCTGAACCCAGGCACTCCACTGTGAGATCAGGAATCCCTAGTGATGTCTTAGTCACCGTGCCAAGTACTCTGAAAGTGACTTCAATGATTTTGTCACATACTTTCTAAGTAGCTGGACAATGTGATGCATTACACACTTTGTAAAATTTAATTAACCAAAGATAACTTTCCACATCAATAATGTGGCTCTACTGCATCAATTTATAATATGTAGCATATCAATTCTTTATGCTCCATCAATGTACACTTAACTTTCTTTTCATTGCTATTAAAAGTTTGCTGGATGTATTTCACACCTATCTGTTATTCTACATTATTTCCTCAGCATAAAATGCTATAAATAAAATCACTGGCCAAACTGCCTTCCTGAAGGTTGTAACAATTTCTCATCTGAGGCATTACAATCACAATTGTGTGATTAATTACAAAAAAAGAAAGCTCCACTTCATCCTTTTAAGAAGCACATAGATTTCCATTTTTTGAATGGAAATCTTTGCTAACCTTTTTAAATTACATACTGGTCATTTATATTTTTTCCACTGATAAGTACATTTTAAATATGTTCACTGTGGTTTGTAACATAAGATTATCCACAGAAAAACTATAAAAATTATTTGAGGGATTAGTTATCCTGGAGGATCTTCATCTCCACCCTCTTCAACAACCAAAGAAACTCATAAACATATACAAGAGAGGCCCAGAGATGAGTGAGCAAGTCTATGAGCACCCCCACTGCCGGCTCACTCTCCAAAGGCCAGGCTGGGGCCAAGCACTGAAGTCACAATCCAGGAATCTGCTCAGCCTTCCACATGGGTGGTAGAGATTCGATCGGCCAAGCCATCACAACTGCCTCCAAACGACAGTGCTGGCAAGACATGCAGCCAGGAGCCAGAGACAGCACCGAACCAGGCACTCCCTACGACACACTGGTATAAACACTAGTACCCCAAGTACTAAGTCAATGCCTGCCAGAGGCAGCACTGAACCAGGCACTCCACAGGAGACACTGGTGTAAACCCCAGTACCCCAAGTACTAGAGGTCACTGAAGATCTTCATCTTTAAAAATCATTATTAAGATATAATGATAGGAGATCTAGTATGAACCTGATTGTTCCTATATTTTTTTGTTGGAAACTTTTGATAGGGAGTCCTGGTATGAACTTATTTTTTCCTCATAATTTTTGTCAGAAAATGTTGGAGGACTCTTGCATCTGATCAAAACACTTGATAATGCAAACAATAAACATTATTTTAAAAAAGTTTTTACACTTATCATATCATAGCGTGAGATAAGATGACCACTTGACATACATACCGTGCCACTTTCCCTTATAGACGGTTCCAAATGACCCAGATCCAATTCTCTGTCCCACTGTAATCTGCCCATCAGGAATCTCCCAGTCATCACTTGAATCCCGTCTACCAAGGGTTTTCTTGATAAAAAAAAGTGCAAAAATCAAGCAAAATCAAATCAAAAAAGAAAACCTGAAGTTTTACACTAAACACATTACTCTATAAGAGACAAACATTTAGGAAGACAGTAAGAGCTATTAAAATATATTTCTAATATTAGTTAAAAGTATGATTCTTTAACATAAAGCTCAAATTTAAGACAATCAGTATTAGGAAGGCAACATTTTAGAAAACAAAGTTACTGTATTTGAAATAAAATATGTTGCATTAAAAGAGTTTTATATCACTTGAACAACTACTGGGGCAACAAAAGCAATGCATATTTAGGACTGGCTTCAGCTTCAAATTCCTCAAAATTTAAGCTAACACACTGCGATAACTACTAACAATTTACCTAATTACCCTTTTCTAACCTTGGCTAAACATCATATATCTTCTCTGACCTAGTTTTTTTAAAAAAAAATCAACAAATGCAATTATTTTGCCACAGGGAAGGGCCTACCCAAAATATTCTTCTGGCAAAATTTCAAAATACAGATTCACTTTGCAACAGAAAGCGAATTTTTTTGAATAGAGAAGAATGTCACTTGGCAGATACTTGATTTCTAGACTACAATGTAAAAATGAAAGAATTTCGAGGAAAAAGAAAGAGAGCTGTGATGTTCTTACCATTCGACTCCTGTCTTCTGAGGACGAAGAGGACTTCCTTTCCCGCTGGGGCCCTGGGGATTTCTGTAAGGCTTTCACATTAGTGAGTGAGCCAGGTAGCGAGGCGGGGGGAGTGGCAGATAAACCTGTGGTTGAGCCTAAGTGTGGTGAAGAGGAGAATGTGTAAGAAGGAGCAAGAATGCTACTGTATCAGGGGGCAGGGCTGGGAGGTGACACCATCTTTCAAATAAAGATCTTCAGGACAGGATGGGCCAAAAGAAGCCTCACTTACTTTAGTGCTGTAACTTCTTTAGCTTTCTAACTAATTTAAGACATTGTCAGCCACTTTGTTTACTGATACAGTTATCCCCCCAAAATTCCCAAGTTTGTTTCTTTTACTAAATATACTTAAAAACCAAACTACAGTTTACATAACATTTAAATTATTTTATAATAATTCAATAACCAACTGATTAAAAAAATAGATGGAAACCACCAAATGCAACATTTCTAAATAATGGCCTTAACTTTGAAAACATCTGGCTTTTTCTTATTGTATTAGTCTTTAAATTTAACTGAATCCAAAACTATAAACTATTATTTAAGAGTTGTCACTTAGTGTCACTGATGCCTACGAACTTACACCAAAAACTAATGTTAACAAACCTAAGCAGATTTCTTTAGGTTTTCTGAAAAACCTTTTAGAGGAAGACATGGACAGCACAGCTGCTCAGCCGAGGTCCTTGTACAGACACTAACATTGCACAGGCTTGGTGAGCCTGGCGAGGCATCAAACTCTTCACAGGCAGACACTGCCGCCCTGGGCTGCACCCTTTCTGATGGGCACTTTTCCCAGTGCTGAGTCAGCAGCACGCATCTCACAAGTCCACATAGAGCAGTGCACAGCTCGGGGCAACGACTCCTAGCAGCACTGGAGTACAGCTGAGAAGGGCTGAGAAAGCCAGGTAATATTTCCAAACACAGAAAAAAATATTCAAGTATTTGTTTAAAAAAAATCATTACTACTCTCAAGGGAGAAAAGAGTGACTAGCTTTCAAAAACTAAACATACTTGACACTATATCAAACTCGGGTGGAAATTTTATTACTACATTTCCCATATGATCATGTGGCATTTCTATAATATTATATGCAATTTTTCTAAAAGAAAATGGCATCTTGAATGTCAGTTAACATAATTTATTTTCTACTCTCTGTCTGAACTGCTTGATGAGGCGTTGCAGTGTTGATCTACTCAGTGCTGAGTAGGTAATTTTTCAGCTTTATAATAGTATTCAATACCGAGCAACTTCCATCCCCTTCTACAGATTTTTTTCAGCTGGGCTGACTGAACAAAAATCTACCGATCCATTACTACACTCAGATTAAATAACAAATGCTAACTAGTGGCAACAACCAGTGCACATAAATTCTTCTAAAACGTTTATAGCAAAATACTAGTCCCAATTTTGACTTGATTTTACAAATCAATTTGTTATTAATTAAGGTATATGACTAAATGAAATGGGCTGGTGAAAGTACATTTTTAATTTTTCTTCTTTTTGGAGCATAATTAGAAGTATAAATATTTCTCAAATTTTCTGAAGAATTTTGAAATAGCCAAGATATATTATAAATCTTTTTCTATTTTTAAACAACTCCCTGCCTTTGATATAAGATACACACATCCTACAAAAAAAATAGCAAAGAACATTGCTACTCTTATAAAATCTTGAGGGAAAAAGCCAAGTACCTCGTAAAAATAAAATATCATAATAGAGGTTTCCATTTATATTTTTAGTTTCCTATAAACCATAAAAACTGCTAGTAAATATTAATGGATCATCCTTCCCCACCTTATTTATTCCCACCGAGTTTAAAAAGTTAACAAGGCCAAAATAAGATAACAATAAATATGGATTTCCCAGCTGAGAATGTTCTTGCTTTAGAAACTGATGACAGACAGCACACAGAGAGCTGGTGCAGGTGAGCATGTGGGGGAAGCACATTCAGAGCGTTCAGCCAAGCCAAGCCACAGTTCAGCACTGAAAACTCTCGCACTTACAAACACACACTGTGAGGGTGAGGCACAAACAGCATCTGTACTTTATATTTAGTTTGCTTTGGGTGAAAACAAGAAAGAAGAGCCCAACTACCTCTGAACACTGGGCCAGGCTCAAAATCAAACACTATTTCACTGGGGACAGAATGTAGGAGGGGACTGGGAGTCCGGGATTGGTATTTCCGAAGACAGCGCATCAGCTGGTTCAAAGGGGCTGTTAGAAGAGAAAGAGAGGGGCAGGCAAATACAGAAGACAGACACATAGGAGAAATGACAGAAGTAATGGGGGCTAAGTAAGATCAGCTAAAGCCTGCTTCACTGAATAATTCTGGACGTTACAAAAGGTCTGCTTTCTGCTGATTTTCATAAAATCCCAATGACTTTTTAAAAATAGCTTATACAAATGGCAAGGAATGCCACTTAATTTCAGGCATTAAGCAGGCTGTGTTTATGACAAAGTTAACTTTGTGACTCTAACATGACGGCAACACTTAAATGCTGGATGTATTGGGCAAAATTATCAGAAGCCACAGCTGTAAGACATATGAAAGTCAAACTTGCAGCAACATTAACTGGCAGGATTCATGGAATCACAAACAAGAAAACAAAATGCAAAACAAAAACCCTGAATAACCATGTGTTACAGTCAACGTTTAGTCCAGAGTACATAAGGCAGGCTTATCATATTTTTGGTAGCTACAGAAACCCAATAAGAGGGTTTATACAATATTTACTCAATATTTCAGCATTTCTGAGTCTGAACTTGGAGATTTTGAGGATACGGGGTCACCGTGAAGAGACCAGCCCTAAGTGTTAACACATGTCATCTCCAAGCGCAGACAGCGAAGAAGGGAAGTACAAAGGTTCCTGGAGGACACCTTGACAACAGTCTCAAATACCGTCGCTTGAAAAATAAAAAGGTTAAAAATCCCCAGTATTTTCTTAAGCAATGCTGCAACGGTTGGTGTGCTAGAATGAATACTACATGAAAATTCTGCAACAAGTTCCAATTCAATTTTTCTTTTGTTCATTTAATTTACTAACTAGGAAAGGGGCAACTAGAATTTTCTACTATACATCCATTTTATTAAATATATACTTTCAAATACTTAGAAAAAGCTCACATGGTTGATAAAGTTTGACAAATGGAGAAACTGACACAGGTAACTCAAGGGATCCATGCAAAAATGATTAAGCAAAGTAAACTTTTATCTGATTCAATGCTCAATCTTTATCAGAGCCATCCAAATGAAATTTAGCAACTGCAGCCTTGGAGATGGTTATAAACTAATAAAGTGGATAAAATAATTCATGATCTCTCTTTAGTGTGGTTTTTAAAACATACACATAGTACACTAAAGATTTCTTTTATCTTTTCATATTTATACTTTAGCCCTAATTAAAAAATTATTAGTGATAAATAATAAATAGTATAGAAAAAAAAACCAAAACAACCCTGAGCTTTGGGGTTGGCACATTGGTTTGGCTGGATAATCCTCCACCTCTAAGTGCAGGCATCACATATAGGCACCAGTTTGTGTCCTGGCTGCTCCGCTTCCCACCCAGCTCCCTGCTTGTGGCCTGGAGAGTAGCAAAGGATGGCTCAGGCACTGGAACCTGCACACCCATGGAGGACCCAGATGGGGTTCCTGGCTCCTGGCTTTGGACTGGCTCAGATCCGGCCACTGCGGCCACTTGGGGAGTGAACCAGTAAATGAAAGATCAAAAACCAAACTAAATCAAACCAAACCAAACCTAACCTGAGTTTTTCTCTACACATTTTCTCTGTGTCTGTGACTCATGAAAGAAGCAAGTATAAAGGAGTCAAGCAGCAAAGCCATTGCATTTTTTCCTTGAGGTTTTTTTTTTTAATGGAAACCATTACTTACCTCCATCACCACGAAACCCTTGGTCTCTAATCAAGTCCTATAAATAAACAGTAATGTATATTTACTCAAAGCATATAGTAATAAAATAATAATACTGAATTCCCATTATAAAATAACTGATTATTTAAAATTAATGTCTTATAATTACTTCATAAACTAGAAAGAATATGAAAATAATAGGTGAGCATGATAAAATTTAAATTTTGTAGCACTTGCCAATCTAATCTTACAATGAAATAATTATAAGTCCCAAACAAATAATAAAATCCATTTTAGGTCATTCAAAACCAGTGGCTCATTAATCCTTTAAACATTTTACTGGCATATATTAAGAGCCATACAAAGGTTTATAGCCTTTGATCCTGCAGTTTCACTTCTCAGAGTTTTTGCTAAGGAAATAATTCAGAAGAAAAAAATGATACACACAAAGATGTTCAGTGCAGCACGGTCCAACATACTTTTAAAGAATTAATTATTTCTCTGTTGTTGAAGGCTCACCCCCCCCAAAAAACCAGATCACAAAATGCCCGGGGACCCCGAATCTCAAACGCTCTTGGCAGACAAAATTTCACAGGAAGTAAACTTTCTGCTGATCTTGCAGGCCTCCTTGCTGGTGAAGCGTGCCTAGGGAGGTGTGAGGCTTCCTCACCATCTTCCTATTCTTTTAGTGACTGTGGCCTAAACATATCTGAGTGCAAACAAAGTCCTAGCAGATTCCTTTTCTAATTAGGTCTGTTTTTTTTTTAACCAGTATGATTCCTATAACTCACATTTACTTATCCTGTTGTCTGAGACCTGGTGGTTGTTTTCCAAATCCCTTGTCATCTATCGTTAAAGTACCTTGTATACTATTGTTTCCTTAAGTAGTAACTTTCATTTGCCTGTTTGCCCTACAAAAATCATGGTATAAGTTGCCTAGTATAACTCAATAAAACGTGGATTGGTTTATCTCACCTTTGCATTCCCTGTGTCCCAATTCTCAGCATTGTCATTACACCTCGAGTCCCTACTAGAGGGGCCCCCAAGACTCTATTATGAGTATTTTCATATGTTATGATTAAGTAAATTGTAGTGCATCAATTTAATCAAGTATTACATGGCTATTTGCCAAAATATGAAATGTGAATCTTGAAACATGTTTCTAACAATAAAAATACAAACGCAAAAGTATACTGATTACAATTACAAAAATATAGATGTGTATGGACCTACCAGAAAGGAAGTAATTACTGTTCAAACTAAAGCTTTTCAGGGTGTTGGCAGTGGGTGAGTCTTGTACGCTATTTGGATTCTGATGGGGGAGAACTCACGTTAGTTTAACTTACATGAGGGACTGACTGGCTCCAACTACCCTTTGCTTTTTGTTTCTAGGCAAACCTAGAGTAAATTTTTGACTGATATATTTTATTATGTTACATATATTTAAAGCCTCCAATATTTTCTGCAAAATACCCAACTGCAAGCAAGGTGCTAGGCTTTCGGGGTTTTGGTGCATCGACTCTGAAACTTCTTACATCTATGGATTGGCAAATTCAACTTTGTCTACCCTTACTCCTAATGCTAACGCCAACATAAACTCTATTCTCTAACCTCAAGTATGTCATTAAAAAACCAATCAGAGTAATTCATTTGGCATCAGTGTAGTATTTATATTAGGACAGGATTTTCTGATCCATGATTCCCAAAAAAATCTAGCATTTAAAGTAACTGTGACAAATCAAAGGTGTATTTATTTCCGATGTATTAAAAAAAAGGATATATATAAAAAACATACTTGAAATCTTTTTAATGCTAGATTTCCCAGATACTTACATCAATATTAACAGGTTCTATTGTGTTAATATGAACATTGGGGGCTGATGAGGACCGATCTCGTTGCCCAAACTGATTTCGATGATCTTCTTCTGCTGGTCGGAAGGGCTGTGGAATTGGAATGGATTTTGAAGGAGATGGAGTGGTGAGAATTTGGGGCCTGGAAAAGTCAAGTCATTGTAAAATAAGAGTCAGAATAAGTACACAGAGATATTATTTAAAAAACATAAAACAAAAAAAGATTTCCTTGTTCCTTGAAGTTCTGAAAATGGCTTTTAACAGTTTTTACTTTTAAAAAATTAATACAAGGTGTTAAGCTCTTTTGCTTAAGCAGATGTTCCTGGGACTACCAATAATTAACAACACTGGCTTTTATTCAGAAGACCTCGAGGAACTCTACTAACAGAAATTACCTGGGTTTAATCAGCTGAAGGCACTGACAAAAATCTGCCATTTTTTTCTAATTGTCATTTTTTTACTATTTGAAGCCACTAAAATGAAAATTTTATAAGTATTTTAAGAATACATATGTACATTTCTGGACTTGAAGACTGATCTACTGTTTTATACCAGAGCTGAATGAAAATTCTACAAAACATTATTTCCAAAGCCAGAAGGTAATCCATTAGAAGCAATTTCTTTCATATCTTGAAATTCTTTGTCACAATCAATTTTTGATACCAGAGGCACAGAGAACCACATATAAAAATAGGAAATTTTTAAAACTTCTTTTTTAACCAAATCACCGAAATAGGTAATTGCAGATGAATAATGAAGAATGACTTCCCACCAGCCCTAAAAGGGAACTTGATGCTCACAAACCAGGCTAATGCTTTCAAACTAAGCTGTAGGCACCTGCAAAGTGCACGCCTTTCAGAAAGAAAATCCCAGGTGGCGGGCAGTAGCACTTGGCAGGTGAGGCATCAGGGAGTCCTTGAGCTCCATCAGGGCCACTGAATGAATTGGTGCTCACGCTGTCACTGCCGGCTGATCACTGCTCTACCTTACGCTACGAAAACCTCTAATTAGCATTACTTACTAGTTATTAAGATATGGACAGAAAGACAATGTTGAGGGAATAAAAAAGGAATGGGGAAGAAAATACAGTAGGAAAAATAATGGATAAGAGTTTGAACAAAGAAATTCAAACAGTGACAAAAAGCCTGTGAAAAAAGTGTGTGAACGAGACTGAACCGTACCTGTTGTTCTCAAGCATATTATTGATAAGAAATTTTGACTTCATGTGTACATCTTAACCAAATTAATTCCTCTACAATCAAAATAAAAGCAATACAATGTTATTTACTAAAAACAACCGGTATTGTCCCAATGATAATTTTAGGTTCAGACTGATGGAAACTGGACTTTAGATAAAGTAGCATGTTTCACTGGTCCTTTTTATACTCTCAAGTGACAAAAATTTTTAGTTTGTGACTGAACTGTCTTTATTTTTGCTTTAGACCAATATATGCTCCTTACTAAGGGATTTTGGGAGCAGGTAAAAGGTAAGAAAAATCACATAAGTAAAAACAGTTTTGGAAAGTACAGTACTGGCCTTGAAGGGACAGGTAGTCCCTTGCCCAGTGGTAAAGAGGCCCACTGCTCCGCTCTGGAGGACCTGGACCAGGAGCTTTCTTCTGGCTCCTGATTCTAACTTCTTGCTAATGCAGACCCTGGAGGAGTGGCTTATGCAACTGGATCCCTGTGCCCGCAGTGGGAGACTGGGTCTGAGTGCCAGATTCCTAGTTTTGATCCTGGCCTAGCCAAGCCCCTTGTGTGCATCTGGGGGTGAATCACTGGGTAGGAGTGCCCATGTGCCCCTTGCTTTCTCTATGTGTTATCTCTCAATACAAAGCAAAGCATTACTCACAGGCTGATTTAAAAGTCTCAAGATATCATATTCTAAGCCAGGATTTAAAATTGGAAAAATACCTCAATTAACTAGAACTATACAAGATATTCTCACCGATATAATAATTAATTTCATGTTAGTGGCATTAATTTGTTCTTGAAACTTAGTTAAGACCATGAAACATACATATCGTGGATAATAATTCATAAATATGTATGCAAAGGGTAGTGGGGTTCAAAAGCAAGGGAAAAATCTGCATTTACTTTGATAAGCTATTTTGTAATTTTTAAAGAATGCATGTATCAAAAAATGAAGATATTTACTTAGTTCAAAAAATAAGAGACATTAAGTTTAGCAGTTGATATCTTGCACTATGTACAGAGTCAGGTCTGCTTCGGCCACATTCACCTTGTCCAGTCTTGAGGATGCATTACTATAGTTTTGGAGTACATGTTACAGTCCCTGTTACAGTAAATACCAAGCCATGTCTTAATTTCATGCTTAACAAAAAGTCTTCTGATTATAACTTGGGTTTTCCATAAATACTTTCCAAAAGAGTAATATTAAGGGCTGACCCATCCAGAACAAGCAGAATCATCTACACAACAAGTATATTTCTCACTACAATGAATTAGCCGATGATTCTGAACAGAAACCGGAATATTTCTAGTTCTCATCATTTCTAGAGAATGCTAAAATCCAATTTCCTTATTGGGAAATCTTTGCCTGGATCAAAGTGCTTTCTATCCTATGATACATCAGGACAGTCAGCACACTGGCTTTCCCTTCAGAGTAACTTCATCTACTTGTGGCAAGCCTTTTGCACACAGTACCAAATTAAACATGAAGGGCTTTCTAATCCTAACACTCCTAGCAAATCAGAATGATTTTTGGTTTAGAATGTTTTGAAATTTTGAAATAAAGCAACTACTTCAGTGATACATAAATTTTAAATGTTGACTTTTATAATTTTACATATTCTATATCATTTTGAAAAAGCAGCAGAGGTTATTTCTCACTTTGCACTGAACACTGAGCAGTTCTCAAATGCTTCTTGGTTGTATGCAGCTTTCCATTTATTTCTAAGCACTGCAAGTATGACCACAACCAGTAACAAAAGACTAAGGTGTCTGATTTTGATCATGACTAGTGTCTATCTTTACAAAGGCACCCTGGACATAAAAAGCATTAGGAACGTGACTTAGAAGTTTAAACATCTTGGGCCTGGCGCGATAGTGTAGTGGTTAAAGTCCTTGCCTTGCACATGCTGGGATCCCATATGGGCGCCGGTTCTAATCCTGGCAGCCCAGCTTCCCATCCAGCTCCCTGCTTGTGGCCTGGGAAAGCAGTCGAGGATGGCCCAAAGCCTTGGGACCCTGCCTCTGCATGGGAGACCTAGAAGAGCTCCTGGATCCTGGCTTCGGACTGGCTCAGCTTCAGCCATTGCGGCCACTTGGAGAGTGAACCATTGGATGGAAAATCTTCCTCTCCGTCTCTCCTCTCTCTATATCTGCCTTTCCAATAAAAATAAAAAAATCTTAAAAAAAAAATAAGTTTAAACATCTTTCTTACAATTTTTTCAAGCCCAGAAATCAACTTTAGTTATGATTATAGTATATCGCTGGCATTGGCTAATTTTTTAAATTTTAAGACAGCATTCCTTTATTGGAAGGCAGATAGTATGAATTAGCACTGTAAATCTTCAGAGAGATCAAGCTAATTTCATTATGGTTTGTGTAACTTTGCTCACAGTGGGGGATGTGCTCTTAAAAAAGCCATATGAATCTGTCAGGAGAAAATGTCATAGCCAAAGGATTAGCTGAAAACTGTGAGGGGCAGATGCTGTGGCACAGTAGGCTAAGCCTCTACCTGCGGTGCCAACTTCCCTGGCTTCTTCACCCCTGATCTAGCTCTCTGTTGATATGCCTGGAAAAGCAGTGGAAGGCGGTCCGAGCGCTTGGCCCCCTAAGCCCATGGAAACCTGGGTGAAGCTCCTGGTTCTTGGTTTTTGAGTGCTCCAGCTTGGGGTGTTGTAGCCATTTGAGGAGTGAACAAGCAGATGGAAGATGTTTCTTTCCGTTTCTACTTTTCTCTCTGTAACCTTTCAAATAAAAACAAATAAATCTTAAAAAAAAAAAATCAAACAGCAGCCAGTGTAATGGCACACAAGCTAATCCTCAGCTTGCAGCACTAGTATCCCATATGGGTGCCAATCTCTGCCCTGGCTGCTCCACTTCCATTTTTTTTTTAAAAGGATTTATTTATTATTATTATTAGAAAGTTAGATTTATAGAGAGGAGCAGAGCCAGGGAGGAAAATCTTTCATCTGCTGAGTCACTCCCCAAGTGGCCACCACAGCCACAGCTGAGCTGATCTGAAGCCAGGAGCTCTTCCAGGTCTCCCACGAAGGTGCAAGGTCCCAAGGCTTTGGACTGTCCTCCACTGCTTTCCCAGGCCACAAGCAGGAAGCTGGATGGGAAGTGGGGCTGCCGGGATTAGAACCTGCGCCCTTGTGGGATCCTGGTGTGCACAAGGTAAGGACTTTAGTCACTAGGCTACTGCGCTGTGCCTGGCTGCTCTACTTTAAGATTTTTTTTTTAAATTGTTAATTATTTTAATGTTTGACGATTTTTAATAGTTAAACCTGTGATTGTAAGTTAAATAAAAGTATGTAATTGTGAAAAAAAAAGGAGGGGGGTAGTGGAGAATGCTGGTGGGGGAAGGCTAGGGAGCTCCTAAATCACCCGCATGTGGAATATGCAAAATTTGATATTTTATGTAAATTAAAAAAATACGAAGGAAAAAGTTTCCAAGTAAACTAATATGCACTTAAGTCATCATTTTTCTTTCCCTATCATGAAGTTTAAATGTATGATATCATTGTTCTAAAAGTCATTCCTCAGCACTGCACACAGCTGATGAGTGACTCTACCGCCCCCTGTGCGTTTGTGAGAACTCATCTCTCTTCTCCCGCACTGTCCCGGCTCGCGTCCTCACTGCCTGCCAGCCTTCATCACCCGGTCGGCCGCCTCCTCCCTAGAGTTTTCCTCTGCAAAGTCACTTTTGTCAGGGAAGTAATCTGCTTGAAAATCTTTAATTCTTTTTGTCCTTGTATTATACCTGAAGTCCAGCCCTAAATTTCAACACTTCCCCTGATCTGACCTTGTACACAGTACTTCTCCACTGAGACCAGTCTTTCTTACCTCGCCTACTCTCCTTGTACTCTTGATTTCTGCCGTTTCTCCATTCCCCTATCGTCAGTCTTTTCATTATGGCTTAGTTCAAATATTTTCTCTTCATGAACTTTGGCTAAATACTCTTTCACTATTTGTTCTCCGTGTGAAAACATTTATTTCTTATGACATAATTTAAAATACTGAATCATAAACTGAATATCTTAATTACATAATATTTTAAGTTGCTTACTGTTGTCTTGTGCTTAGTGAAACTTTTTTTAAGGAGGGCACATATTTCCATAATTAACATTGCTTAATAAAATGAATATAGCAAAGATTCAAAATTATCTTTTGCTTGAATTTCTTTTTGGACTAGAACTGAAACAATCTATGTCAGTTTAATTTCATTTTATCTGTACCAACCAGATATGTAAACATGTTACTGGTATGATAAAATAAGCTATTTTTAAAGATTCTTATTTACTAATTCAAGTGTTACTTTACAGTTAACCAAAAGGCTCAAGAGAAAGTCACGCGAAGCGCATGTCCACGGGCAGCGGTGCAATCATACCCAAGGCAGTCTGCGGGAGGAGCTGAGGGAGAGGATCCAGAGGCGAGGGCCGTCTCTGCTAGGGAGGCCTCCTCCTGGGGTACTGGGTGGTGTTCAAAGAACTTGGAGACAAACAGCAAACTGTGAGGCAAAAACAAAACAAGACAAAACAAACCTAACTTGTGCAAAACCCAGAAGCTTCATATACCACAATATACAGTTGACAGAAAAATCTGGGATCAAATTTTTACCTTTAGGAATAATTGTTAAATCAATAGCTCTATTTTTGTCTAGAGGTTATTTAAAAATGCATATATATATATATATATATGCACACACACCCCGCAGAATACATGCAAAGAACTGAACATAAATCTTTCCATTCGAAAAGTTTCTACGTATAGGAAGAAGAAGAATCATGTTTTATGGTTAAGGAATTAGGAGAAACAGTATCTACTGCTATGTTAGATCAGACTGATAATCTAACATAAAGAGCTAGAGTCTATTTATACAGGAATCAAGAAAAGTAATAAGGATGTTAACAGCAGGAGATTAGCACAGCCTCCGCCGGCCCTGTTTCAGCACAGCAGTGAAGCTGCCATGTGGATGTCTGCATCCCGTCTGAGCCTGGGAAAGGCAGTGGGTGATGGTCTGAGTGCGTGGGCCCTTGCCACTACTGACACGAAGCTGCTCGCTCCAGCTACCGCGGCCATTTGGGAATGAACTAGCAAATGGAAGAATTCTCCTTTTTTTTTTTTTTTAAAAAAAGTCATTCTGTCTTTCAAACAAATAAAGATAGCTAATAAGCAGCTTAATAGAAAAACTCTTGACATTAAGCAAAGAAAAATTTTTAAGTGATAAAACACAAAAATTTGATATCTATTCAAATAAACTGGACAAGGGAGCTGAAGCGCAAAGATGAATTACAGTGGGAGAGAGAAAGAAGAAGGTAGGGGGAGGATGAAGGGAAATGTGGAGAGAATAAGAAAAAAAAATCAGAATTTACTAAATACCTGACAGAATCATATTTGTGGCATTCAGAAATGATCAACTTAACTGTAAAGACACTCCTTTTTCTCAGAAAAGCTATCCAAAAATTATTTCTCTGGGTTAAAGGTCTTTTTAAATTTAAAAAAGAATATAAACATAAATTAAGAACATAGCTGAACCAGAATTACACTTGGGAGAAATGTTAACTATTCTACCCATTTTTGTTTAACCTAGCTTAACAATTTCCTTCTAACAATTGCCTTATACAGAAATTTTTCTCACAGTTTCACATTAGATTTAAAGGCAAAATGTTACGCAGGAGAGAAATTTTTAGGGTTTACTTACTCAAGTTGGTCATAATTAACACACATCAGTGGCACCTCTGTGCTGCAACGCTGGTGAAATTTGTAACCACACGTTTGACAGCGGAAACCCTGGAAGAGCAGCTTTCGACAGAAGTCACAAAACGCTAAGGTGAAAAAAGTTTTCCGTACCTGCAAAACCAAAAATTGTAGATGACTTTAAAAGGTGTAAGAATCTGCTCAGAGATTATACTCACTCTTGCCTAAAAATACAAACTTGAACATATTTATATCATAAAAACTCACATATTAAAATACAAAATGAAAACAAGGTTCATGCAGATAATTATATATATTTGCTTCTACCTCCAAATTTCCACTTCAAAACTCACAAGTTAAGAAAATGGGAAACAAAGAATTAACAGCTGATTTCAAGTTTGACAGCATACAAGCAGACATGACCAACAGAGAACTGACACTAAAGGAAGGATATAACCTAATCAGTAGCTAAACCAAGGGAGTTAGGGGATGCTGACTGATGGTGGAATATATGTTTGGGATTACAAAAGTCTCCAATAGAGGAGCCAGAAAATAAGTAATAAATACACTGGGGGAACTAGTGAGGAGGAAGAAGGGTTACAATACAATAATGAACTGATTTCAGGTGGTCTCGGTAATTAGCACATGATACCTAAATGTGATTAAAGAAGAAACTGCAGCTAAAACATGTTACTCAGTAAAATTAAATAAGCACCAAAACGGCACGAAACACAAGGTATTAATAATTAACAATGATATCCTTAGGAGGGATTTGTGGGACGGAGGGGGAAATTTAAATGTCACTTACACAACACCAACACTCTGTATTGTCACCAGCATTTACTTTTTGATTTTGGCATGATTTTTTTTTAATATTTACTTATTTTTTTATTGGAAAATCAGACATATAGAGAGAAGGAGACGCAGAGAGGAAGATCTTCCATCCATTGATTCATTTCCCAAGCGGCCAAAATGGCTGGAGCTGAGCTGATCCAAAGCCAGAAGCCAGGATCTTCTTCTGGACCTCCCACATGGGTACAGGGTCCCAAGGCTCTGGGCCGTCCTCGACTGCCTTCCCATGCCAAAAGCAGGGAGGGTGGATGGGAAGTAGGGCCAACGGGATTAGAATTGGTACCCATACGGGATCCTGGCACATGCAAGGCAAGGACTTTAGCCACTAGGCTATGGCAGAGGGCCCGAATCATAGTGTTTCAAGTGGAGTCAATGAAACATCATTGTATCTTTATCCATATTCCCAATCAGTGAGTGGTCCTGAGCATTTTTTCATGTGTGTGTTAGCCATCTGTATTTCATCCTTTGGAAAAAATGCCTATTTATATCCTTTGTTTTATTTCTTAACTAGGTTGTTTGTTCTGTTATTGTTGAGTTTCTTGCATGCTTTGTGATACTCAGGCTAGATTCTAGTATAAAGCATACTCCCTAAGCAACAACTTATTCCTCAGCACATTAAAAGCAAATGTAAAGGTACATACAAAGTTGTGTGTTGTGAGTGGCACATTCTCCAGTACTTCCACATGCAGCTCTTCTCCAGTCAGCCAGGAAATGTCAGTGTCCCAGCCAATCGGCTTCTTCTCTCTGAAAAATGCACACATAAGCCTTTCTTGGTTATTATACCAAACATTTTTATATACCTCATGCTGAAGATATGAAAATTGGTTATTGAGGGGCTAGTAATAGTGAGGGAGGTTTGGCTCCCTTGCCTTCCATCGTTAGAAATTTAAATGGCAATAAATTAATTTTTAAGTTTACCCCAAATAAATGTATCACTCTTGGACAAACAGCAGGGTAAAGAGATGTGTACTCTTTTCTTCAAGTCAGCTCCAGAAAAGACCTACAACAGCAGAAAGCGGATTGTTCCTGGGGTCCAAAAAAAAATCTTCTATCTATTCAAAGAAAAAGAGTACTTAGGGGACAATGTGCCCCCAAATCATGACTCAAAATTTGGATTCAAAATTTGGGATCTTGAAACAATACTAGATACTTTCTGACAGAAAAACAGTTAAATACAAAAATGTTAATTTTCTATAAATCTTTTGTGTAACTGAGTTTGCACTAAAAACAGAAGTGGATAATGTTATAGTGCTCAATGTTATCACTTTCTAATTGGCTCAACAATTATAAGAATCTCAAGCTCCAAATCAAATCACATAAGAGTAATAAATACTACAATCATACATCATTATCCAAATCCTCATTGGGCCTACTGGTCTCTTTAAACTAACAATTAATTTAATATTTCTTTAAAATATTAAAGGATTTTCAATTCATTTACCTAGGTGTAGGTAAAGATCCCACAGAAGCGAACCAAGCTTAATGCCTATTTTTTAAAATCTTTTTGAACAAAATTTCACAACATATACAAACCATACCCATCCTGGATTCTGTAAACAGCACAGCATTCTGGGATTAGCCCCCTCATCATCAGTGCTTTCTTTAGACTGTCTCGGACTGTAACTCCACATCTTGCAGGTACCTACAGTGTCACAAATACGTGGTAAGGGATAAAGGCAAGAGATTTTATTTTTCCACATTATTTAAAAACTCAAAATTTATCTTTGTAACACCACATCTTTTAAATTGCACATGGGTTACTAGGTCAAATACATTGGTCATTTTTACAATTAACTTAATATTAAAGACAAATTATAACCCAAGCAGGTATCATTATTTACTAAAAGTAAATTTGATTTTTTTGCCTTACATTAAAATGAAATGCTTTAAATATATAAAAATGAGAGAAATAGTAGTTTTCACTGCAATACAGCCTTCAATACAACGTATCCATGGTTAGAAATAACAGATGCCAGCACTGTGCTGTACACAATCAATTCTGATCCAAAACTGCTCAAAGATGACAGCTGTGTGATTGTAAAACTATAGTGATGGGCCTTTCTGAAACATGTTACTTCTAAACACCACACAAAGGAAAGACTTTTCTTAATAAATTAAATTATTAATAAAATTAATAAGTCTTAATTTATAGTTGCCATTTTGTTGTCTAATGCTCTTATTTCCTCTGCGAATCTATCCTTTCACAGACATACACACAGCACCAGGGAAGTTAGTGTTCAAGCTTTGACTTTTTATAAATGATGTAAAATGGTTAATCGGTTTCCCGTATGCTTGGCACCAGCAACTAACCCAGGGCTAGATACATGACCCAAACAGCAAGGGAGTTGTTCCCTAAACTGATACTTGAACACTGGTTCCGAGAAATTCTTGCTTCTACAATGCCAAGAGAATAAAAACATGAAACTCTTAGTGGCTACCTTCTCCAATAAACTAAGAAAACCTGTTACAGAAGGAAGCGAACATGGGAACATGAGACCCAGAGGGAGGCAGGAAGGGGCAAAGCCGAGAGAAAAAGGATCCTCTGTCCCCCACCTTTCACTTGCCTTATTCTGCAAGACAAACTGTAGTAAGTGATGGTTAGTGCTGTGGACTACAGCGAGGCAGTGGGAACAAACAGGGTGCAGCGCTCATGGTGCGCAGATAGAAAGAAAATGTTAATAAAACTAAATCCTCTGTACATTTACATCATGCAACAGTGGGGTAAATGAAGTACAGGTAAATACAAGAAAACAAAATTGAAACAATATAATGAAGAGTAAATGATCAGACAGCCTATTTAGGATTTGTGCTTAGAAATAAGAGACGGGATCCGCACTGTGTTACAGGGTTTGGATTCAGCTCCCTGCTAATGACGTGGGAAAGGCCACGGAAGACACAGTGTTTGGGCCCCTGCTAGCCATGTGAGAGGCTGGATGAAGCTCCTGGCTCCTGGCTTTGGCCTGGCTAAGCTCTGGTTATTGTGGTCATCCGAGGGAGTGAATGAATGCATGGACGAGTTCCTTCTTTCTCCCTTTCTCTATGTATCTCTTTCTAACAAATAAACCAATCTTAGGAAAGAAACAAACTTAAGCTTAATATGACTTCTAAAACAATCCATCAAAAGAAAATCTTGCTGTGAGGGAGGTGGACTCATCACTGGAAGTACTCAGGAAGAGACCACATTTGGTACAGCTGATTTTCAGTTGGTGGAGTTTTTGAAAAATTTGTTTCTGCAAGTTTGTCCACTTACTAACATTTACTTATAACTCTAGAATGCTCTCAGCAGTTTATGCGGTGAAGAGCACAGCAGTAAAATGTGAGTTGTCTGAAACATGGATCCTCCCAGCCGAGGCTGAACTAGGTGATGCTCTGCTTGCTTCACTTTTCACACTACAAACAAGTATCCCACGAATAGTTTATGGCACTGTCATCTTTGCTGCACTTCGGGGCTTTGTTGATGATCCTGATGTTTCAAATGGCCTCTTAAGCATAGTACCCAAGTTCTGTTTAGGATTTCTAAGTGCTTCAGAGAAGTTAATACGCTTGGAGGGGGAGAGGAAGTAGATATATGGGAGAAAGTACATATATTAAACGTTAATTAACCAGAAACATATACTAAATAAGGCACTTCAAACAGGAATACACATAAAAGAAGTTCATGTATTGATTAATTGGTGAGAATTTGACCAGAGGTCACAAGAACGCAATAATTAAAGAGTTCAAGGGATTGATGAGCTTATCAAGCAAAGAAAGGTTTGACCACAAGGTGGCATGCATGAGTTTTGTCTAGGTCACACATGAGCCTGCAGAGAGGCTAAAGTGGAGGAACCAGACCCTGAAACGGGAATAGGGGGAAGAGTAGTTTGTAACGCAGGTAGACTCTCAATGGTTAAAAACATGCTTGTCAGAATTATGTTTAAAACAATGATCTATGTACAACTTAAGCTTGGTGTGAACACACTTGAAGCAAACAGGTCCTACCTGCTGTGAAGACTAACACTGCAGGGCTCCAAATAAAGAGGTCGTCTTGGCTTCATGTGTATAATGGGAGCCCTGTATTTCTTCCAGAAGTAAGAGCTCACTATTCATTAATTGAGCATCTGCAGCGTATTTAAGGAACTGAGATAATGAGAATTGGATGTACCTTTCTGAAGTAGCACACTGAAGAGAAAACGCACCCTTTCCATTTACCAACATTGATCTTATGCTTACACTAATGCAAAGCTGCCTTACCGGCAACCCTGTTTTTGGCTTTAAACACCATTAAATCTATTCTATTCTATGTCACAACAGAAAAAATTTTCTAAACGAGGTATTCCTAACTTGTGTGTGTGTGTGCGCATGCATGCATGTGTGAAAGATTTCTGAGATTCTAATGAAAGACACAAGTGGTTTAGGTGGTTTAAGCAGCCAGACTGCTGAAGGGGGTCCGCTGAAGACAGCACTGAACCCAATCTGAATCAGAATCTCACATCTTTAGCAGTCTCCTTTGAATTCTCTCATACATTACAGAACAAAACTTAAAGTCTATACTGTGGCACAAAATGTCAGCAGTGACTGAGAAGTATCTTCCCCTCGGTTTCTTTGATAATTTCTTTCATTCATTCCAGTAGCACAATTCAAACATGGCTTTGCTCCCATTCTTCGCACAAGCCAATTTCTAGTTGTATTTATATTTCATCAGCAGGCAAAATGTTCCTACTCTCTTACCAAGACAAAGCAACCTGTTAGTGCTTCTTCATACTACCTCTGTAGGTTGAGTTTTTTTGGTATTGTTTGCTCTTTTGTGATGGTGTTCATGCTATAGGCAGACTACCTAATGAAACAGAGTGTAAAGATCAAAGCCGACTCCAATACATAAAGAAAAATCTTACTGAGACAAAGGGTGCCCTTTAAAAGAGGGTAAAGATGCTTTTTTTTTAAACAACTGACACTGGGACAAACTGAAATCAATGCAGAAAAAAAAGCTTCATTCATACTTCCAATGAATACCAGGATTAGCTCCAAATGGATCAAAGATCAAATGCTGACAGAGAGGAATAAGGACAGGAACAAAGATATGTCATTATAAACTACACAAAAACACTGCCAACACATTCATAACCTTCATGTGAACAAAGTCCTGACAATTAGAAAACACAGAGAAAAAACTAAATCCAACTATATAAAACTAAGGGTTTAGAATGGCAAAACATATTATATGGGAAGATATATGGTAAAGCCCAAAGATACATGCAAACTGAACAGTAAGAGCTGTGGTCCATGAAATGGTATATTTTGCTGATACACAAACAGCTTCTGAAAAACTGATGAAGATCAACTACCCAAAAGAAAAACAGCCAAAAGATATGATAGCTTATAGAAATATAAATGTAATTTAAATATTAAAAAATTTGTTTACCTTAATTCTTGCAGGATATCTTTGTCAGTTAAGCAAAAATCTAAGAATCTGAAAACATATTCTGTTGGGCAAGCTTTTGAACAAAAAGGCAGGGCAAAATTAAGGAAGACCTGTGAGGCAAATTATCTGTCAAAATTATACTTCTCTCTGACCTGGTCAATCTTACCTCTAGTACACCTAGTAGGAAAAGGAGTGGATATACAGAATATGTATTTGTATTTGCTTATATATACAGAAAGAAATTCTGAAAATGTGTATAAACACATGCACAAAGTTTAACCTGAAAAGTGCAGGGCTGGAAAAATATTCTTCCTTTCCATTTTTTTTTTTAATTGGAAAGGTGGATTTACAAAGAGGAGAAACATAAAGATCTTTAGTCCACTGGTTCACTCCCCAAGTGGCCATAACGGTCAAAGCTGAGTCAACCCAAAGCCAGGAGTCAGGAGCTTCTTCTGGGTCTCCCATACGGGTGCAGAGTCCCAAGCCTTTGGGCCATCCTTTACTGCTCTCCCAGGCCACAAGCAGGGAGCTGGATGGGAAGTGGGGCAGCAGGGATATGAACAAGAGCCTATATGGTATCCTGATGTGTTCAAGCAAGGATTTTAGCCATTGAACCATCATGCTGCATCCAGACACACATTTTCTTGATTTAAGTACCATGTGAAAGTATTACATATTCTAAAAAGAAAGGGAAAAGGTAGGGGCAGAGTTTGTCTCATTTTAATGCTGAGAAGACTAAAGAGATTTTCAAAATATATCAGGCAGGCCCAGGACAGTAGCCCAGTGGCTAAAGTCATAACCCTGTATTCATCAGGATCCCATATTGGCGCTGGCTTCTGTCCCAGCAGCCCCACTTCCCTTCCAGTTCCCTGCTGTGGCCTAGGAAAGCAGTCAAGGACAGCCCAAAGCCTTGGAATGCTGCATCCATGTGGGAGATCTGCATGAAGCTCCTGGTTTTGGACTGGCTCTGTTCCAGCTGTTGCAGTCACTTGGGGAGTGAATTCGCAGATAAGGATCTTTCCCTCTGTCTCTTCTCTCTGTAAATCTGTATATCCAATAAAAATAAATCTTAAAAAAATATCAGGCTTGTGCCTTCCTCCCAATCCCCAAATTAGATCACCCTGCTTAAGTTGTCAAAATTGCAATGATTTTTTAATTTTAAAAGGTTTGAAGGGGGAGAACAGGAGGGCCTTTAAGGGTCAGGCCAAAGTAGAAGTACATGTGGGAGACCTGAGCTGGGG